TGTCATCGGGACAAAATCAGAACCTGATGTCTCAGACCGAGACAAGGTTCTAATTCACGAGTTCATTTCATGCCTCATCGACAGCTCTTCGGGATTGCCAGCACCCTCCGACGACCTCAACGCAACATCGGATCAGCCTTTGGCAACATCCTTTGCGCTCGACACTGTGGAACGCATCAGTGAGGACCTATACGTGTTCAAGCTACCTCCTTCCCCCTCTTGCAAATGGGTCATCGGTGTTGATCGCCCCACGACTGTTCTTTACATCTGTCGACTGGTCGCCTCCGCTCCGAACACGCATACGGTGCTGACAATCGCCTACCACCTACTTGAGCACCACATACCCTTCCACACCCTCCTTCTGCAGGCCTCCTCGGAGCCCGAACAGCTCAATCTCCCATACGCAGACAACGCCAACCGTTTTAACAAGCACCAATTCACGACAGCAGACTTCAACAGTGCTATGCTCGAGTGCCGCGCGCTGCTGGGCCGCCCGCAAGGGCGAGCTGCAATACTTCGCGGTGGCATTGTAGGGAGGATTGCAAGGGAATTCGGTAGTAAGGAGTCTGGGTTGCAAGGACCGTCCATCGAGGTCACAGTGCATCATTCGGGGTACTTTGTCCCGTCTAAACACGACGGGTATTTCTACTGGGATGACGACCTCACTGGTGAGGAGATTGCATGTTTGTGTGGGACATACTGCCTCTATACAGGTAAGGTCTGTCTTCCGTGAGTGTCTTCAATAGTGAATTGATTCCTCATATACAGGGCGTGGCGAGCAGACAACAACGGTCTCGTGGTTCCCTCCTCCGGACGTTTGGGACAAGCAGGGTTATGGCTGGCCAGGATGGACGGAAACTAACGAGGAGTTTTTCCAGCAGTGGATAGCAGACATTCGCAAGGGCAATGCCAAACCCCTGTCGCGTCAAAACTGGTGGCGCAAGGTTCGTAGCATCAAGAACACGAGGTCGATGCTTAAGAACAACAGGGAACGGGCAAAGGCATACGTCGAGTTGAACATTCATGCTATGTAGCTTTCATCTTGATTTCTTGGACACTGACATGTATTTTTTTTTGGTGCATACACAATAATGACAAGGGTTTTTTTTCCAGTTACATTGTAAGGACTATGCTACACGCTGTGATTACAGGAGGTACCTATGACCTGGTTGTAGCGGTGGCGGCGTTGATTTGACTCGAGTGAACCTATTTCACGGCAGACACCCTTCTATGAGGAGGACACGCGATCGCGTCAAAGGTAACTCTCATGATATTCAAAATTTCTTCATATAAAGCATGTGCCGGCGACATAGTACCAAATAGATTATGTGATTCGAGCCCTTACATGGTCACTATATGTGAATTGTCTGACTAGTGGATGAGACGAGACCCACAGGATAGACCTACTACTACATGGCTGCAACATCTAAACGCCTGCTAACTAGCTGAGCCAACATCAAATATTTTAGCCATGAAGGAGCTGGTTTGGTATCTGGCAGATGGGTGGAACAAGATGCCCAGGATAGTCCAGCTGCTTCATGGATATTACATGTTGACATGTGCCAGCCAGCTGAGTTAACATTAAATATTTCAGCTGCGATGGAGCTGTTTCCTGATCTGACAGGTGGATGGGATAAGATCTTCGGCATGCTCTTCCTACTACATAGTTGTCATGTCTGAACATGTGCCAACCAGCTAACCTAACATCAAACCTTTCAGCTGCTATATAGCTGACTCCGTATCTAACCCATGTGCGTCGATGTATGCGTCCAATGAAATTAGAAAACGTGACTACGAGATATCATACATTTGGCAGTGTACCGCTGGATCTCCCCCTATCGTCACGTCATTTGGCATGGAATACGCGAAATAGAACTGTCGAGGTCGCTTATGTTTTTTGAGTTTACGTGAAGTTAGTTTCTTTGATAGAAGTGGGGCTGCATCGGCCGAGACTGTTCACAAGACCTCGGTAGAGCTGAAATTCGAGTAACGCGGTTTAGATGAATACAAATACACAACTAAGAGACGACCGAGTTAGCTTCGCAACAAGGTGTTGCCGTGAAAAACGCACTCTGGACGGCGGTATGCTGGTCCGTCTATAACCAATAACTCCCTCCTTGCTACAAGGACGTCAAACGCACCCCAACAGACGATAACAGTGGACCTTACCTGCATAAGAACTGCGTCGATCTCATCGCCATCCTCCATCCCCAACTAAAACAATCGGATCAGGTTTAGACGCCTGAGTGGCGGCAAACGTAGAAACGTACTTCCGCGGGTGTTTCCTCTGGGCGAATTCGTCGTTCATTCAAGAAAAATCGTAGGACATCTGTTGTAGGCGCTATCCTCAGCAGGTGGCACGCGAGGAAGAAAGCGAACTCGTACTTGCGTCGATATTGAGGCGTTCCTACAGGTACGTAAGGGGGAAGTTCATGCATGAAAATGTCCGGAGACTCACAGAGAAGGCGTTAAAAACCTTCAGCAATGGCTTTTCGCGCTTCGTCGCAAAGGTGACGGCTGAAGAAGGGACGTGAGTGAGCACGCGCCATAGGTCAATGGGCCACCAATCAGAGCTCTACATTGCTTCTCATACGTGATGTTGATATGAATCTTGCCTTTTGGCTCCTCCGTCATACTGATAGTAGTGGGAAGGGTGAAAAGACGCGACGAGGAGATGGGAGATGGGAGGAAAGGAGAGAACAGCCATCGACAAATAGCCGTGTCTGGTCACGTGGTACAACACTTCGATGACAGGGGTTCTTGGACAGGCAAAAGTTTAAATCGAAAGCGTGTTGGATTATGGTGAAATATATGCCGATAAAGAGAAGGAAATGGAAACAGGTATCCACGTCATGATGAGGAAGCACTACAGGAATGCGATGATGGTCCTCCCCCCAACTGTGTAAAGAGCGTCAGAAGACGCGTGGGGGCGATAGTAGGATCTGAAAGCGCACCTGCTCCAGAAAAGCGTCAATCTGATCCCCATCCTCCATTCCAAGCTGTGCATGAGGCGATGAGTCGTGCTGGCAGCGAATGAATGGGAAGTAACACGCACCCCAGCCGGTGTATCTTCTTTGCTAATTCGGTTTCCTTCGTATGTAAACTTGAAAGTGCCTATGCGACCGCAGGTGATGTGGGAGAAAAGGAAGTGATCGCGGAGATTAAGTCATGTGGGCTTCAGGCAGGCTTGAAAACAGTACCAGATTCCTTGTTGAAACGTTTCTGTTTGGAGCCAGGTCGTACAGCATTCCCCTGCAAACAAACGTGCCATGAACGCACCTCGGCAGCTTCGAATATCTTTCCAAACTTCATATTAGACTTAACCTTCACGGTTATTTCTGAAACGATGCCAAATTAGCAATCGACGCGTCGCGACGCGCCGGCGGTCAAAGAATTCCAGCGCGACTCGAATCCGAGCACTCACGTTGGCCATCGTATGATATATTCAAGTTCAACTTGGGCTTTACATCATCTGCCTCTTGAGACATTGTAGAAAAAGGGGCGAGATGGCTGCTGGAGAGCTATTTGAGGTGGTGGAGCGGGAAAGAGGTCTGACTGAGTAACGCGTAACGCGCTGGTTGATTTCCACGTGATCTTCCTGTCACGCTCAACAGGTCACATCCTGCCAGCTTGAGCCTTGAGGACGAGCACTTGCAAACCAAGCGCTAAGACCAGGCGCTGAAAGCTCAGAATCCTTCAAGGCATAGTGTACATTGTGTCCAGCATCTGTGAGCTTTTCTTGATGTCACTGTGGGTGTACTTGTGGATGCTTGGCGCTGATAGTGCCATCCAGGAACAGGGATACCTGCTTCATATTCAAGAGAAGACGATCAACGAACTCTTGTTGTACTGTAAGGGAACCTATAACCTTTACTTTTTCTCCGTCGGTACGGCCCGCAGTACCCCCCCGCAAGTCTGGCACTTTAATTTGGGTGAGTTTCTCGGACCAGGCCTCGAGTGGATCTCCGCTCGCAAACCTGTTCTCGACCTTAAAGTGGATTCACTCGGTCGTGGAGAGCTAGGGGTCTTTTATCTGCTATCTACAGAATAGAGACAACAGTTCAAAAGACATGTCCTTAATTCTTGGGATCCCACTTCCTCTCTAGGCTGAAACACTCTAGTGCTGTTCCCCTACGCCTTGACCTCCTCAAGACGACATACCGTCGTTGTTTGAACACGGTGGCCTCTTTTTCATTCTTTTACGTATCTCCGGAGACTATCATTCTTCATGATGCCTACTCTCAGACACTGACCTCCCAGCTCAATCCCGCGTTGGCCCAAATGCATCAATATCTCCAGAGCGAACGTCGAATCTCTTAAGGTGATTTTACGTACCTCAAAGCGGACATACTCCGAAGAAAACTGCGTAATTGATTGTGGTGCTACTCCTGCTTCCAAGCAACCTACGACGGATGACCGTTCCTACCGCGTTTGAAGTATCGGAGAACTCCTGTTGCAGATTGCCTATAACGACGTTGAAGCCGACGGTGCACACCGACGGGAGACAAAGGCGCTTCACAAATTGCTGCACATTTGAAATATTTGTTGGCACCTGTATAATCATTCTTTTCTAATTGAGAAGACACGCCACAGTGGAGTATGAAGTGCCATACTTATGAAGTGCCAGCCATGGCCGTCGGATTCTTAAAGACGTCAGAAAAGGCTACATTTTCTAGCAAATCCAGCTCGGAGACAAGTTGTTATGGGAATACGTGCGGTGGAGATCTGACCTATCCGGGAAATTTATTTCTTGAACATGGTATTCGCGCCAGGCAACACGCTCAATAGTCAGCTAGAAACCGCAGGTATTACTATTGTAGGATCAAATTATTCGCCGCCACCAGCGCATTGGGGATTGAAGGAGTCGCGGCAGAGCAACAAACAGCAAGCAACACGCGCTGGCGGCTAACCAGGCGGCCATTTCATCGAAGTGATACAGTTTGTAATACTACACCTAACTGGATGTCCTGATAGTAGAATACATGCTACCAAAAGGAAATTTAATTCTGAAGTGAAAACCCAATTCTGTCCCTATCTGTCGTATTGTACATAGCCAACAATTTGTCAAGCATGGCCTCTGCAACTTCAGTGGGCAGGCTGTCGCGAAATTCGGGAGATTTCATCCAGGCTAGGCCGTGCTGGAGGACGTTCCTTGCACGGGTCGATCCTCCCTTCACGTCGCCTGTGCAGGCATGCAAGGTGATGCGTCGCTCCTTCGAACTATATGCGGCACAATGAAGGATATTAGAGTTATAGAACACGGTCTCGCCAGCTGGAGAAAACGTCTTATAAGCAAGTTGCGTCTCCGATTGTGGAAAGGAAACCTCACGCTTGAGCGACACCTGTATTGCGCCAGGCATATCCAATGGTTGGTCGGGAATTTGACCCGAAGAAAGGCGCCTTTGCTCTGGCGTCCTTGGGATCTTATGAGACCCAGGCACGACATAGAGACACGAGTCAGGGTAGAGGGCTCTATCGCGTTACCGTCATTCCGCAAAAGAGGTGTTCAGAACAAACAAATCAACGTACGTATTCCACTGAACCTTTTACAAAAGAAATCAGTCACTGGAAATGTCAGGAAGAGCACCTAAAGTACTGACTCCATAGTGCCAGATATTCAGTGCTTCTTGTTCTTCCTTCTCGGCAGCGCTTTCCGGAATATCGTCGCGGTGCCATCGCAGCGCAAAATCATGAGAGACAGGGTTGATGAGAAGATTGAACGGCTCTAACAAGAGTTTGCATTTCGACGGTCTCTTCAACTGAGACCTGAACTTTACTCACCCATCTGTAGATCTCTGACTTCACATCCAAGGAGGTTCGTAGCCGCAGCCAACAATTTCGGCGACGTGTACCACTTCGCAAAGATAGATTCGCCAAGCTGCGGATGCATGATGTGTTGGACACCCCAAGAATCGGGATCATCGTCGCCGTACGGTGGAAACTGCTTTCCAACTGTCCGACGATGAGGCCAATGACCTTCCCGTGTTCGGGCAATGATTCGACTACAAGCCTTCTCTAGCTCGTCAAAGTCCTCGGTTTCGATTAACCCAGGAACAATGACATAGCCTTGCTCATCGTAGTGGACCTTGAGATCAGAGATCATGGTGGTGGAAGAGAAAGATGCGATGATCAGTCTGAGTCTTCCAACATTTATCTTATCTTATCATTTGCTTTTGCTACCAAGTATTCTACGATTAAGTGCGCTGTTTCATCTTTGAGCGTTCCCACTGCAATACCCGCTTCGACAGCCTCTCCTGGCCTTCCTCGAACGACGAGAAGAGGGTCTGTAACTCAAGGCGCTGATCGTCCTTCTCAGCCCACACCTTGTATTTTTTCGCGCCGTCCTTGTCCTCGACTTGCTCGCACATAAACCGGGGTTTCGGCAGGCCTTCCTTCCGGCAGAATTCTACAGAAAAAAACATCGGTCAGGCTGGGCAACCTCTCACGACACCGAAGAAATGACTTACCAAACAGGATATCGAGATTTGACTTGGACGTCGGTTGACCATTGTCTCTAGACGCTGTGCCCGAGGTCGGACCTGAAGGAGGAAGAACAATCAAGGGCTCTTCGATGCTTTCCTCCTTCACCGATTCTTCCCCTTGTTGTGGCCCGGGCCCATTTTGGTTGGAATTCGGCCCTCTCGAAGGATGAGGAGCTCTAACGCCTTCACTCATCCTTCTCCGTTCTTGAAACCGACGACCTTGAGAGTTGTAGTTTCCATTTGCATTCGTGCTACCTGGGTGCTGGTTTGAGTCGGGATGTCGCCGGTTACCTCCACCTTCTTGAGTCCGCTCATAGCCATTGTGTTGCCGGTTGTCATGATGTCCGCCATGCAGCCGTCCTTGTGGGTGAGAGTCTCCCATGGTTGTATGCCGTCGTCTATGGTTTGCTGACCAATTGACATCATGGGAGTCGTACGGCGGCTCGCGGTAAGGCGGATAGTCCGGTGCGTGCGGAGGAGACCTCGGAGACCTCGGCGAGCGGAACCTTGGAGAGTACTGACCTGGAGGGGCGCCAAGAGAGTGGTACGCTACTGGAGCTGGAGCAGGAGGAGGAGGAGGCGGAGAAGAGTACGGAACCGGCGGCGGCGGTTGATATTCGTAGTTTGGAGGGTAGGCACCATTTGGATAATACTGCTGAGAGGGATAGGAGTAGTAAGACGTGTGAGGAGGGGTTGGAGGGGCAGACGGAGCCGGAGGGTAGTACGCTGGGTAATGATGAGACGGGGGCGCAGGCGCAGCATGGTAAGGAGGGTTGGGGTACTGAGAGGGAGGAGGGTATGCTGGATACGAGTGACCATAAGGATCTGGAGGAGGATATGAAGGGCCGGAGGGTGGCGGATAAGATGGACCTGGAGGCTGAGAGTAAGTTGGGCCTGGATCTGGACCATAGTATGACGAATCGGCTTGCGAATACGGAGGATACGAGTCATAACGCTGAGGATACGAGTGTTCAGGATGCTGCGAGTACGAAGAACCAGAATGGTATGGTGCAGATCCATAACCTGCGCGGTCATCATAGGGAGGATACGACGACGACGAGACATGTCCGGAAGACGAGCTGCTTGGAGGAGGATAGTAATCTTTCTGCCCTCCAGCCGGAGGCCGATGAGCAGATGGGTGATCAGGAGACGGCGGATGGTAAGACGAAGACCCGGTTCTGTTTCCAGCTCGGCCTTCACCACCCGTACGCGGCCCAGAAGCATACGCGTTGGGTGGCCCAAGGCCGCTGGATCCAGTCGCAGGAGGCTTCTTCCAATGCTGGTTCGACTTAAACCCAGAATTGTTGTTGTTACCACCACGGTAGCTGCCACCGCTAGCAGAGTTAGTGCTCGGGTTGAAATTGGGCACGAAGTTGGGTTTGCGCGGGAGCGAGGAGGGGATGTCAGGCAGAGACTTGCCACCCACACGCAGCCCATTCACATTCGGCTTCACATCACCTACTTCACCTAGCTCAGTAGCGCCATCTTTGACGCCCTTACGACGCTTCTTGCGATCTCGACCCTCTCCATCGACGTCTCGCTCAGGCTCCTTGCGCTTAGCGATATAGTTATCACCATCGCCGTTCACCTGGGCTTCCCAGAAGGGTACGTAGTCGGCTGGAGGAGGTGCGCCTCTGAAGCGCAGGAGATCAATCAGCCCTTGCTCAGCGGCGAGACATACCACGGCGGCCTTTGCATCGGCCTTCGTTCTGTACTCCGTGCCAACCGAATACTCGCGTACGTCGGGCTCAGCGGAGTTTGCCGATATATCGACTTTGAGGGTGCAGCCAAAAGCTGGGATGAAGGAAGTGAACTTTCGCACAAGGCAGAATGTGAATAGCTTACCATCTCGTTCCGAAGTATAGCTGAATGCAGGTCGGTTACCAGGCCGAACCTTGCCACACTCAGCCGCGGTAACTTGAAGGAGCTTTTCGTTGGCGAGTTTGCGTCTATCAGGCGGAAGCTTGTTCTCCGCCTCTTCCTTCAATCCGCGAATGTAATCACCAAGTCCTTGTGACATGCCGAGGAGGCACACAGCTGATTTGGCGTCCGAACGCTTCGGAAACTGTGGGTCGACTAGGTAGGTCCTTGTCTCGCTAGGGCGTTGGACTCGTAAAATGCATCCATGGACTTAGGAACGCTCAGTCAACGTGATGTGAAAGTAAGCAAAGACTTACGATGTCGGGCGGTGTCCACGACAGGCGTAAAGGCGGAAACCAACCGCCCCCCTCGTGCTGATTGTAGAATGACGTTCAGCCAGCCCGGCGCATTGATCTCGTTAGCTGACGAATCTCCAACATCTTCTGGGAAGGGACGAGGCAGGGTTTCATAGAATTCCTGCAGCGTGATTCCCTTCGGAGGCGGAGGAGGGGTGTATTCTCGAGCCACATTGTGGTTTTCGTCCAATCCGTCGTCGATAGGCTTGGGAGGTTCGGTCTGCCCGTTGCCATACTTGATGAAATCGATGACGCCTTCCTCGATTGCAGACCGTGCACACGCCAGCTTAGCAGCTCGATTGTTGCTGTGGATCGGGTCAACGAGAGTAGGCCCGGAAGATGTGCGACCCTAGCGATATTCGAAGGGCAGCGCCATGCTCTATGAAGGATTAGAAACGGCTGAGCGTAGCGTGAAAGGTTACATACTTTTCTTGTTCTTAACATCGCTATAAAGGACCCAATGTGGTCTGACCTTGTCTGCCCTCCACTCCGTGCAGCATTCCTCGATAATCTTTAGCGGTTCCTCCTCAGGCGTGTACTTGGGCATCCCGGGCAAGGCCTCTGTCGAATCCATGTTATCGATTTCGACATCGAAGGGATTGAGGAGCAGCCCCTTCTTCGCCTTCAAAGCGTCTGAATCGCCAGACATGATGAAGTCGATCGCACCCATATCGACAGCAATTTTTGCGGCTTGGGCCTTCGCGCCTCCTCTGCGTGAAAAGCCAGACTCCGACTTGTATGAACGCGTAGCACCGTTCGGACGTGTTATAGTTAGAATGCACTGTTTACCTGGATGAAAGTTCATGTCGGAGTCGAGGAAAGAAGAGAGAAGTCACGTACTCTTGGGGTCTTCCTCCAGGTATTCAAACTTCAAGCAGTCCCCAGAACCAAAGACTCGGTGGCTGGCGTGCAAAAGTGAGGTGAGCATCCCCTTCCAGCTCTCCCTCTCTTTGTCCTTTTCTTTCGCCTCTTCGCTGACTGCATCATCTTCCCCCTCCGCTTTCTCCTCGTCTGTCTGTTTCTCCTTTTCAGGTGAAGGGGGTGGCTCAGGTAGCTGGACATAAAATGCCACGTCCATCGCAGCTGTCGAAGTCGCCGTATTGGACAAAAAATCCTCAATCGACAAGGCCCCAAGAGCTGCGAGGTCGCTGCTGACAACATCGAATGGTCGAGGAAGGTCGTCTGCTATGAGAGCTGTCCAATCAACAGGTGCAGAAACCCCTTCAGCTCCAGTGGGTGTTCCTGCACCAGGAGGACCAGCCTCTGTGCTGATCTTGCTGCCGCTGTCGTCTTTTTTATGTGTCCTGGCGTCCATGGTGGTCGTGAGCGACAAGGAGCGATAAATTTGACCTCGTCAAGCCTTTGAGAGCGACGGAGGCAGAGGGAATGATGCTGGTTGATGCTGGTTGATGGAAAAGGTACCCTCTGATTCTTTCGCTCCGACTTCGATAATCTCTGCCACAACGTGGCAGGCTATGCAGCCGAGAAATCCTGACTGCCCTCACAGGCCGGAAAATGCGGCCAATAGAGTCAGGGACGCGGATTTGGCGCATGGCATATTTAAATGGTGAATACTTGGTGGCTGGATCACCCACAATCCCGTACGATGGACCTGGGCTCCTCTCTGGTCAGTGTTCCCTGCTTTTTATCCTGCACCATAGTCTTGACTGACTCATACAATGTTCAGCCGCTCAATGCGATATAATTAATCACGTTAAAAGGCTTGGTTCAAGGATAGCACAATGAGGTCGACATCGACGTCGAACTCGTCCGTCCTGCGCCTCATGCCGCCGAGTGTACGACCTCGAACCAATAAATTTTGTGCGAGGCCAGAGGGTTTTTGAGTACGCCCACCTTCCACGGTACCTCCAGGAACCTTTCGAGTCGCCATCGGGTCATAAGAGCGTCTCGGTTACAGCTAGTCGAAAGGGTTTCTGCAGTCGACATGATGATGACAGACGACACTCTGGCATCCCATGACAAGATCAAGTACCTTCTGCCTCTTGTAGACACGGCGCCGAGAAGCACTTTAGACTGCGAGAATATCGCCGCAGAAGCTGGGCTCTACAACGGGATAATTTTTTTCCGGGGTGTGGTGATTGCCCGATGCTCTGGATGCTTTACAGGTGAGCTCCTCGGACGGGTACGAGTCCACGACGTTAATTACAGTCTTCGTCAATGCTCTACCTACCTTGGGGAGGCCCAGATGGGATCTTCGGACAGCGTTATATGACGGTAATGCCGAAGTCAGTATTATTCACTACGATATCCGACACCTGAACAATCTTCCAGCACCCTCTGTGGCCGCCATGGTTGCCTTCACTTTCATCCTCAAGTCACATAGTAAGGAGTTGCACGCACGAAGGGTAATTGGGGCTCGCAAAAAGAGTGCGTCAGCGCGCTTTGACCCGCCTCAAATTGGTTACACCCTTCGAGTTCATTAAGGCGATTCTGTTGTGGCTCGCGCAATTGCTATAGTTATCTTCTTGGTGCGGTTTGGCTGCACGCTTTACTGACAGGTCGATTGGGCCGACTACGAATATACGACAACCACAACGTGCACAAAGTACATATGCAGGTACTAGTAAATTTAGATTCTCTCCTGTATTCTTTACACATTTTAGCAGAACATATCGCTGACTGATGAAACAATTCTTTGTGGTCTTGGGAAGGGTAGAGCCATTGTTACTATTACGCGGAGAGTTCGGCCTCTGTAACGTCAGACGCGGGTTTCTTCGCTCCACATAAGGCGTTGGACAAGGCAAATATTTCCGTGGAGGTTGCCGCGTACTTGGCAGAGTCAACTCCCGCGAAAGACAACCCCGTTATTGCTGGAATAAGATCCGGTCTATTAAGCTTCTTGGGGGTCGATATAGTTAATTCGTCGCTGTTGGTCATGGTGTAGACCATGATTATATCTCCATTCGTAATGGCCCCCCACCTGCACCCGAGGTAAACCAGCTGTCCCCAAATTTGCTTTATTATCTTGCTGCTGATTGTGTTCATACCCCAGTTAATAACGCCCGTCTGTTGCGCGATAAGAGCAGAACTTCGAAAGATCTCCATGAAAAACTCAGTGGCATAAGACCACCAAGTCTTCACCTCAATTACGGCCCCATGACGAGCATTCACGGAGGGCCCCGAGCGGAGAAGGAAGTCGGCGAGGACATTTCCTGTTTTATTCTTGTCCAGAACGACAGTTATTTCTGCGGGATGAACCCGTTGATCCTTCTTTGTGCCACAGGTTCCCCAAAAGGGAAACTGCTTTTGTGCGTCACATTTTCCCCCATCAGGGTCTTCATACGTTTCAGGAGTAAGTTCTTGATCGACTGGGTATCGTATCTGAACCAATGAAGATGATTTAAAGTTGTTAGTCAGTACTTCATTCCTCAACGAGAAAAGCTCAAAACTTACTCGTAGCTGAAACATTACGGGTTGCACCATGTATTTGAAGATGACACTTTGAATGTCTGGCTCACAGTGGACAATGATTTCTTTCTTCCCTACGGATGTTTCATGCAGCAGCATCGTGTAGTGCATCCACTGGAGCGCCCTTACGTGATTGACGGTTGCGGGGTCTGCTTGATTGGGATTGTAGCCTAAGGTACTCTTCCCATGCACCGTCTCACGTAGAGCATATGCTTGAAGATTTCCCCATAATTCAGTGGATACAAGCACCCTATTCAGGCTAAATGTCGACTGCGAGAGCTTTTGGACTGCTTGGACGATCTCGGTACGGCTTTGAGTACTGGTACTAGTCTGCCGACAGTGGGCGAGACGAGGGAATTGCAATGGCGGAAGACCCATATCCCATGGTATCGTGATTGAATGCTGAAAAGCTGGTGCGATGGTCATAAACCTATTGACAGACACCGGATTCACAGATCCATTCTCCATGACGTCATCCGCGTTAAATGCCCGAGGGAAATCATGGGCAAATTGGGGAACTGCGACTGCATTGATGTTGGCCATTCTCTCGATCGGTATATCTTGTACTTGTGGATGATTTAGCTAAATGTGACTGAATCTCAAGCGGGGTAGTGGTTTTGTTGTTGGGTATCAGTAAGAAGCATGGATATATATACGAAATCGAGAGCGTTGTGGCGCATGTTGCTTCGCCGCAGAAAAGTAGACACACCAGCCTCGCAGGGAATGCGGCGTCTCTCGAGGGACACCGTTGGATCGACTATCGATGATCAACTTGTATACACGAAGGAAGAGAGTAATTCTTTTATGATCACTTGACGGAGAAAAGATGAATTATTATCGATGCGGCGTTGACCGAAAATAGAAGGATTAGCCCAGATTGGCAACATGGATCTAAACCGTGTGGACTCGGGGACATATGTGTGCATGCCAAGGCACATGGCGGCACACCTTATCTCATTCGGCGTGGCAACGGCGTGGCGACTGTGGCTATATAAAGGCCTGCAGGTTCAACAGAGCAGATCCCAAACCCCCCACCTTCGACATAACATGAAATCTCTAAACTTTCTGGTACGCATCCACTTCACTAATAGTTGCCCCTATTGAGCTAGGCATCTTGTCAGCCTCTGAACGCGATCAAATATGTTGCACTTAGCGGCCTTTTTGAACAAGGCGACAATGGCTCTGGACTCGGCAGTCATGATGCCCAAGGCATAGATGATGTTGCATGGGAGTTCGAGCAGGTTCTCCCTGCCGAAGCCCACTGCATGATGCACAAGGCCGGCGTCAGGGAGAAAGGGCCTCCCGTCCGTCCGCCTTCCACTTTACCGCCCCCTGGATCCCTTCGCGTTTTGCTCCAAGTGAAAGAGTGCATCGGGTATGGTCGTCTAGGCACTGTATACGCCGTCGATGTCTCGCGGTTGGACAACAGGACTGGAGGATATCTTCCTCCGCTCGTCATCAAGGTTTCAAAAGGGTCCTTAGATTGCAGCAAACTCTCTAAAGAAGCTGGTTTATACACCGAGATGCAATCCTTGCAGGGAACAGTAGTCCCGCGATGCTATGGTTTGTTCACTTCTCAGGTTCCGGATGGTTGCGCTATCAGGGACTTTCAGTTGGAGCAAACAGGGTCTTCATCTGAACAAGAAGAACATCAGCAACTCCACGATGCTGAGGATAACAAAGATTGCATTTCTATTCTCCTCCTCGAGCGGTTAGGACGTGCTCTACATCCAGACAACCATGTTCCAAATGAAGCGAAGTGAGCTATCTCTGCCGTTTCCGAGTTAGTGTTTTCGAGACTGAAGTTTTCCCTGTGACAGAAAGGACATTTACGCCATGTTCAACGAGGTAGCAAAATTAGGCATCCTCCATGACGATATACGCGCCGACAATATTCTTGAAGCACCCTCACACCCCGAAGTATCATCAACCCCATCGCCTCTCAGTGGACGCACTTATGGTTGGCGGATAATTGACTGGGAATTTGCAGACAAGACCAATTGCCTCGAAGAGAGCATTGACCGGATCTCGAGGACAGCCTTGTCCGTCATGTTCAAATATAATGACTTCCCAGCGGAGGCTTCTCCGACCGCTGGACCCTACGTTGATCATGCAGACACATAATGAAGTCACTTTGCACATATACAAGATGTCGAATCCTATTGAATAGATTGTGTTTTCGAATAAATCTACTTGCAGAAATACGCCAGTGCAGCTCCCTATATAGAGCCCAGTCTTGCCACCATTACGCGGTATTCTTCCTGATTTTCCATTGAGCCATGAACCTGGGCTTGGAACCGTATGATGAAGTAAGAAAAAATGCTAACATACACTACATACCCTAGCGTCCACTATTTATGAATAGAACTGTACACCGAAAAATAAGCACCCACTATCGCTTATCATAGATGAGGCATGCGGCTCCTGCTGTCGCTCTGTACTCCAGTCAGTGGATGCGAAGCTACCCTCCCAACATTGACATTGGACTGATTATGCGGATTAGGGAATGGCAGCCCCTGGTCGGGGTCACGCCTTGGTGAGGCACTGAACGCCGTACGAAACGTAGCGTCCATCGGCTCCTGATCACGCCCGTGCCCATGTTGGAATGGCTCGTCATCTAAGCCGTAGGCGTCGTCGAACGGCGACCGGGGCGTGGACGGCATGTTCGCAGTTGCATTCGCACCCGTACTCGCGCTAGGGACGGCGAAGTCCGTTTGGTGAGGCGTTTGCTGTTGTTGCTGAAACGCGAACGTGCTCTGAGGGTGGTTTGACGAATGCAGGTTGTGTATCTGCCCTGGAGGTTGCACGACAACCGCAGGCGCAGGCTCTCTCATCGGCGGGGCGCTAGTCGCGCGGCTGTCCCAGCTTATCGTGTCTGTACCAGCCTCCTCCTCGTCCCGCGGGTAGCGTTTCAGCAGTGCGGATGCCGTATCTGCACGTGGCCTCGGCGCGTGGATGGCATTTCCATCGAGGTTGGGATCAGAGGCGAACCCAACGGCCTTGCCTTGCGTGTCCCATTGCTGGTACCGCGTTTCACCTTGGGGTATGGTGCTCCTTAGCGGGATGGCAGAATCCGAGTCGTTAGGGTTGAACACGTCCGTGCTGGATTCCGATGGGTTGCTCGCATGGTAGGGCGAGAAGCCTGCACGGGAGAGTTTGGTTTGACTGAATAGAACATCAGGCGTGAGGATGTTGCAGAGAGCATGGAAGGAGAAGGATAATCACCGAGCTTTCCGCCTGTCGTAGATTACCTGCGGTTTGACCTTGTTCATCTGCCGGAAAATATACCACATCGCGACCGCAGTGATGAGGAAGGTGACGGCAAGCACGACGTCGCTGATAATCCTACTCTTCTTGTCCGTCACACCTAAAGCGAGTTCATCAGCAACACTCTGCGCCGTCTCAAGGAAACGCCCGCACCAGTGCTTGATTGTTCGAGGATGACACCGAGATAGACGGTGATAAATTGCTTCGGCATCGACAGAATAGCGGCGATGGAGAAGACGAAGATACCCATCCCGCATGTCGAGAAAACGGCCGTGGTGACTAAGGAGGGATGCCATATATCATAACCCGGGGAAGATGGTTATAGTTATCGCACGTACAATGGCCAGGAATAGCACTCAAGCGGGCGATGAGTGCAATCTTGAAGCCTCCATCCCTAACGACGCGTGCTAAGCACGCATACGTGATCTTTGTCCTCTCCAGTTTCTCGCCTCTCGACCGACAGCAATACTTGAAGGCGCTGGAGTGAAGGGTGAGTATGGTTCGCAGATTGAGAATGGGCTGACGCACTAGAAATTGCCCACCTCACCTAGGAATGTCCCTGCTGCTACGATCGCGAAACCGATCCATAGACCCCACACAAGCCCACAAAGAATGGCAACGATTTCGTGTCCGAAAAGCTGGGGAAGAATGAGCCAGTGATGTTGGAATGAAGGGGCGGACTTACCGGTGGAAATGATATCACAAACAAGACTCCAATCGGCACCAGCCATCCAAATTTCAGGCTGCAAGGGGTCAAATAGCTAAAGAGTTGGAGAAGATCATGGACGTACTCGTGCAGCCACCTCGTTACTGGTGTCAGCCAGTCCACGATCTGTCTGTGATACAGGGTGACGAGGGCAGTGATGACCAGAATGACGACCAGGATAACGTAGTACCCTGCTCGCGATGGTTAATCCTTGGCCGTCATCGTCAGGAACAAGAGAACGCACACAACCACTCCCGCCGGAACCAAAACTTCTTCGTCCGTAGTGTTTTCCAATCAACCGCCCCCGTCTGCAGCTCCTTCAACTCGCTGGGTGTTGGACTTGGTGTTCGTGTTATCTGGCGACCTTCCTCTCCCATCTTGCCTTCCATCGTCGAATTGGCGAGTGTCGTTGTCGAGCCCAAGGTCGCATAGTTGTTGGCGTCCTGCTGCGGTGGGTAAAGTGTGTTGTTGGGCACGTTGCTTGATGCATCGTAGCTCTGGATAGCCATTTTTAGCTATCTCTGAGGTTGGAGATATCAAGGTGAAGTTTCTGGTGCTTCAAGGCAGCAAAGAGGCTTTTGAGGTCGATGGGGGAGGATGATGGCGTTGGGCGGTGAAAGGCGGCGAATAAAACGCAGGGCTCGGCTTCTCAGCAGGCTGTGCCCTGGTGTAATAATAGACAGCGCCTGGCTGATTTCGCCCATTGTGCACGCTCTCGCCCTGCCTGTAGCCTGCAGTTGACCTTCAATTCCGCGGTGGTTGGACGTGAGGATGAGGAGCGGATACGCCAAGGATCTTGGCGGAGGAAATGAGCTGTTGATCTTGGCGGGACACTGGACTCGATGCTATACTTAGTCACAGTAGACGACAATCATGCATTTCCCGAGTTATATCAGCCAGAAAACTCAAAAGAGAGGGATGGTACCGTTGAATTTGCCATCTTTTTGAACGTTGAAGTTCGGCGGATAATAAATAGCGCACATACATGGGTGGTGTACTTACAACAGAGAGGCGAAGAAAACCCACCGGGCTAAACAAGAAGCAGGGAGGAATTTACGTAATTCGAACGCCTCAACACTTCTCACGTCTTCCTTCGAGGGACCATGGGCCCGCGACAGGACAACCTTGGAGCTCAGCAGCAGATTTCATAACTTCCTCGTGAGCGCCTGCGAACGCAAATAAACAATATTTGGTCAGAAGCTCCGACAGTGAACAACGGGAATATAAGGACGTACGGTCCTCAAATTTCAGCGGACCCTTGATATGACGCCGGACGATGAGCCTCGTTAAATACCAATGAATGATGATAGTAATAAACATACCAATTCTTCGAGGCGGTATCCTTCACTCTTCAAACTATTGAATGGAGTCAATTGACCGACACGCAAAGAACACGACATTCGTGGTACTCACTGCGGTCCCGGCATCTCGGTAAACCATCCAGCAGCAACCAACAACTTATCTCTTAGATACCCTAGGCCCGTAGGTTGAGGTCGATACCAAGGACGAGCGGCAAACTTCTCCGGATGGAGACGAGGACACTCGCCCTCTTTCGTACGCTTCGGTTTGGGGTCGAGCGCGACGACCGAACGCGGCGAGAAGGCAGGAAGCATCAGCCACCGCTGCACAAAAGCCGTCGTCTTTAGCATGGCGTCGACTAGCCAAGAGAGATACGCGTGCTGCTTCTCGTACCTGTGTACTATCAGCACCGTCAACAAAGGGCGAGAAGAGTAGGGAGACTCACATCATCGATTCTCTGACAATATCGTCCATCAAGCAGATAGCAATACGCCGACCCAGTGATTTTAGCCCAAGAACGTTCGGAACGGCAGCCAAAAGCTCATCGACGGTAGTATCGCCGATATCCCGGTTCGTCTGTGCGGGGACCATATACATTTCCTCGTATTTCTGTCACGGAAGGCGTCAGGGGAAAGGAAAAGGGTGACGCAGAGCGCTCTATAAGACATACCTTGCTCCAGGCAGACAGCTCTGGAATAGTCTCGGGAATTTCACGAATGCCCATCCGTTTTCCTATCTCTTTCCAGTATATGAAGCCAGCTTCTTTCTCCAAGGGTGACAAACGGCGCCATGCGTAGCGGTCGGCCCAAACCTACGAAATGGGAGTCAGGTTCCGGCAGAAGAAGAAAAACAGGCGCTTTAAACTCGGCTTACCATGGGTTCCAAAATAAAGAGCGAAAGCGTATAGAGATAATCATCGTTCGACTATCCTAGATGATCAATTCCCCGCCGCCTTCTTTGACTGGACAAATTACTCACGATCTTGTATCTAGAATGCAAATAGTTGACTCTCGCAAGCGCGATCATTGCCCGCGGGTCATCAGCAGGTTTGGCGTCTGCCCCTTTCTCAGAAATTTCTTTGGAGGCCTGTAAGTCCAGGAAGCCGGAGATGGGACAGCTGACCCAGGTTGCTAGTGTACCGTAAGGAGGAGGGAGAGAAAGAAGGGAAGGGAACGCACCAATGAGAATCTCGGTCTTAAATACCGATCGTTAATTAAGCGCCGGAGATTGGAAAAAAGTCCGAAGGGAATGACGCACGTCAGTATACCGCCTTGAGATGGTCTCCTTCGACTTCAGCTGCTTGGTAGCCGCGAGAAGCTTGGAAATCGTAGGCTACACTCTCGCATCAGTCTTTTCGAACATAAGGAAACCGAAGGAACTCACGATCCCATAAGTCTTGAACAAAGCAAACGCCAGCGCGACATTCATCAAGAGAGGCATATCATACAGCCCTGCGACGTGGATGATCTTCTGCGCTTCCTCTGGAGTGATTATACCCTGCCCGTTGTTCCACTTCGGGCCGTACTTGCTGTGGATGGCATTGTACCGCCGCCATCGGAGGCTTCTGACAAGGACAAGCCATAGAAGGAGGACACCGACGACCACGATGGGTGGGGCAATGTATCGGGCTTCAGCCATGGTTTGCGCCTGCGATCCGGTGGGCACTTAGAAGGAGCCTGGCGAATGCAAGAGACTAGAGGGTCAGGGAATGTCGGGAGGGAGTTCTGAAGTCATGGTGATTATATGTTTTCCAGGACATCCTCAGTTGCTGCGTCAAGTGCGCCGTTCAAACCTTTCCCCTCCTTCCGAAACGCAGCGAAGATAGAGACAAGAACGAGCATCCCCACACTGATCCAATCGCTGGAGTGTCTTCATCCATTGTCGGACGGGTCAGATGATCTACGCGAGGAGAGATGGCATTAACACATGCCTCAGAACTAGTCTTCACACCCAGAAACGGTGCTCGAAGAAGGGAATAGTCGCAGCTGGAGACTACCAGCGCAGATCCAAGACTTTCCGTAGAATAGAGAGTGGGCGCCGTCGGTTCTGGAGGATCCGAGATAATCTAAGGTTCAAGAAAGAGATCGTGAGCACCCAATCCACCAAAACGGAATGACTCCAAAGGGAGCTGAAGCAGGTAAGCCGGCGGCCATAGCAGGCTGGTAATGATATTAATCCAATACACTCCTGGATCGCGTCTATCCGAGAGGCAATCATGAGGTCGAGAATAAAGGGCTTAGGTTGTCCAGTTGGCTGTCAGCCCAGGTCTTCCAACGGTTGTAGCCAGACGTGGATCCGATAGCAAGAAGCGTGACAGATAAACCAGTAAAATTATTGTAAAAGCGAAGAAAAGAGTCAGCGTTTCCGAATGGTGGTAGTGGGATAGGATGAAGGAGAATGACTAGGTTTGCGTGGTTACGTAAGTGATAGCACTCACCGGCCCGGGCGCGTACCCGCCCAGAGCCTGCTTGATTCGAGGGCTTGAAAGCCAGAATTAAAAGTTTATTTTATACATAAAAAATCCATCAATTTGTCGCCAAATATCACGAATTCGTATCGGAAAACCATCCCGGAGTATCAAGACTCAAGCTCCAGAGCTATACTTCCTGCCTTCCAGCGACCATGGGCCCGCAATGGGGCAACCCAGTAGCTCCGCAGCGGTTCTCATTACCTCCTCGTGCCCCCCTGAAAACTAGAAAATGAGAAATTATGAAATGATGCGGAGAAAAGGCGCACTGTTTTCATATTTCTCAGGTCCCTGGAAGGAAGCAAAGGGTCATTACGCTTGTCAAATAGATAATTAAGGAGAGCTTGCCATTTCTTCAAGCCGATACCCTTGGCTCCTCAACCTGAAAGAAAATATTATACTTAGCTTGAGTATTACCTGATGCCAAAATACATACCTCGGCCCCGGTGCTTCTGCATACCACCCAAGCGCAACAAGTAACCGATCTCGAAGATAGCCCAGCCCTGTAGCTTCGGGTCTATACCACGGGATCGATCCCCATCTATGGCAGAGCAAAGTATCAATCAAATTGTAATAAAACTTAATAGATATGCTACTTACATTCTGGGATGGAGGCGAGGGAATTGACCGCTTTTGAGGTACTTGGGAGATACGTCCATGTCGACGACAGAGCGAGGAGTAAACTCGGGGAGCATCAACCATCTTTGGCAGAAAGCAATTGCACCCATCGCTATGTTGACAAGTAGGAAGGTGTACCAAGGCGGATTTTCGAACCTAGAAGGAAAGTGATAAGCTTCTCTGCTCCGAGTCAGGAGGACATACATAGCTCGCACTTACATAGTAGCCTTTCTCATGCCCTCGTCTACGAAGCATAGGAGCATCTTTTTGGCCAGAGCCTTGATACCGAAAGCATTTGGAACTGGCAAGATGTCGTTGAGCGTAGAGTCGGTTAGGGCATGGTTCTCTTGACGAGGAACTCGGCGTTTTTCTTCGTAGTCCTATATTGATTGATACCTATCAGAAAGTGTTACATAGAATTGGGACAGTAGGGAAAACCTCGCTCCATCTTGTGAATTCGTCCAGACTGTCTGGAATATCTTGAATCTTCATTCTTCTTCCGATTTCTGCCCAGTACACGTAATAAGCCTCCTTCTCCAGGGGAGAGAGGCGACGCCATCCAAAACGGTCTGTCCAGTTCTATGTGCGAGAGATATAGTTCCTGAGCGGCGAGTCAAAGGAAGCTGACCTACGATGGTGTTTCGTATGAAAAGAGACAGCGTATACATGTAGTCCTCATTCAGCTAAATCATTGAGCCTAAATTTATGGAGACACCAATCGTTGAGGGTAAATAACACGCACGATTTTGTATTGAGAATGGAGGTAATTGACCCTTGCAAGCGCAATCATTGCCCGAGGGTCCTCAGCCGGTTGTTGCTTATCGCCGGACATGCGCTTCTCTCCGGCATGTAGGTCCACGAAGCCCGACATGGGGCAGTTGAGCCATGTGGCTGAGGTGATCGATCAAATATTAAAAAGGAAGTCGGAGTGCCATAACAGGAAGTAGACGCACTGACGAAGATTTCCGTCTGTAACCAAGCCGAAGTAGCGTCAGTAGGGGACGTTAAAAGAGAGTTGGGGGACATACGCACATCAACATAACGCCGTGAGATCGCTTCTGGTGATTTTACTTGCTTCGTCGAATAAAGAAGCTTGGCAATGGTTGGCTGGATCGCCAAGCAACATCTATGAGGTGACCACAAACGACAGGGAGAAAAGTAGACGAACTATCGCATACGACCCAACGAGTCCAAATGACAATGCATAGTATGTCAATAAGGGCATATCGTACAGCGTCGAGAGGTTCACGATCTTCTGTGCCTCCTCGGGAGTAATGCTGCCCTTGCCGTCATTCCACTTCGGCCCGTACTCGCTATGGATTGCATTGTAGTGCCTCCAACGTAAGAGGCGTACGACTACAAGCCAGATGAGTAGGCCGGCAAGCAGAGCGTAAGCGGATGAGAGACATCGAAGTTGACCGATAACGACTGTAGCACGAAGAAAGAGATAGTCGTAGCTGAATAGACCATCCCCAGACCAATCGCGGAAATGGGTTCCCATGACTGAAGAAGACAACGAGCGGGGGATGTTCGTGACGCGCACGAGATGTATTATATGAGTGGTCCAGAGAAACGACGAGCGCAGAAGCCTTGATCCAGCCAAAAACATACCTTCCATAACATGCAAGTTTGCTTCTGCCCGAGTCCAGCGTGGGCATGAATATCTCGCACGTCCACATTAACAGGCGAGAATAGCGCAAAACGATACCGGATCTTGGTTATCACCAAGTAGTGTAGACTTAGGTGGCCTATCAGCATCGAAACAGAGACATCGAAGCCAACTTGGGATTTACTGACGGGTTTCACAACGAGCGCAGAGCAGACACAAATATAAATGTGCTCTGTATTCTGATATCAGAAGAGATGGAGTTATGCTAAGTGAACTTGATACCTGCAGGATACTCCAAAGCCAGTGCGGACCGAGGTTCGAAGGTCTTCTCAGTTTTGATTCGAAGATAATTTTATACACGACAATGATGGAGTTGGACGAGCGTTTGATGATGGAGACGCCTCTGAGACGAGCATACTCATTGGGTAGGACTTTTCTGTAGAAGCGGAGCTGTGGCAGGGAAGTGCTTTGTTTGGAAGATGGGAACTTGTGCGTTGGTTTTGGTGTCTACACCGAGTACTTTAAGTCAAAGTTCCAAGAATCCACAAAAAGGTTAGTTCCGAATATACTACGAATCAGTGTGAAATAAATACGATAGATAAGCACGAAATCCTGCATATGGATTCATAGAAGAGGTATACGCATCAACATCCTTTCCTTCCCTCGAGCGACCACGGCCCTGCAATGGGACAGCCTTGCAGCTCAGCAGCCTTCTTCATGATCTCTTCATGTGCACCTGTAGTAAATTAGTCAGAAGAATATTCTAATCTCAACAAGGGAGGAAACGTGACTAACGCTCTTCGAATTTGAAGGGACCCTATAGAGGCGACATCAATCAGATCGCGAGGTCAGGTCCAAAAAAGAAAGAAACTTACCATTTCTTCGAGACGGTATCCTGCGCTCTTCAAGCTGTTTGATGTCAGGTCAACCTCAAGCTTTGAAGATCATCAGAATGATGACGAAAATACGCACTGCGGTCCTGGCATCTCGGTGTACCAACCAAGCGAAACCAGAAGTCTGTCTTTGAGGTACCCCAGTCCTGAACTCTCTGGGCGGTACCATGGTCGTGCAGTCCACCTAAACAAGGGAGAAACAGATGTGAGCGAATGACGCGACGAGGAAGAAAGCCATTCTATCTCACTTGCTCGGGTAGAGGCGCGGGCATTCACCCGCCTTGACATTCTTAGGTCTGGGGTCGAGTTTGACGGACGCGTGCGCAGAGAAGGCGGGTAACATCAGCCAGCATTGCACAAAGGCCATTGAGCCCATAGTGATGTTGACGAGCCAGTAGATGTACCAGGGTTGCTTCTCGTACCTAACTTGAAGTCAGAAACGTACAGAGATAGGAGAGGGTGGCACGCACAACATCGCCTCTCTCGTGATGTCGTCCATCAGACATACAGCGACCCGTCTACCGAAGGATTTTATCCCCAGAGCCTCGGGTGCAGCGACGAGCAGTTCTTCGAGGGTGTACTCCGCAACTTCTCGGTTGACCTTGTCCCGGACCATGTATTGCTTCTCATATTGCTGTTGAGGGCGTCAGTGAAGGGGACAACAAAAAAGAACTTGCGGAAAAGACAGACATCGCTCCATGCAGCTAGCGCCTGGACACTCTCGGGGATATCATGGATGCCCATCCGTTTTCCGATCTCTTTCCAATAGATGAAGAATGCGTCTTCTTCCATGGGCGATAGCGGACGCCACCCATACTGTTTGGCCCAAATCTTCATCAGAAGCGTTAGGTATTAGGTATCGACAAGTATCAGACGAAATGAGGTCACATACCGCCGGCTGCAGGATAAACAGAGCCAGGGTATAGAGATAATCATCGTTCGACTGGAAAAGCGCCGGACCGTTCATGTCAGATCGATCTATTTATAATTAAACCAGCTGTAAGCGACGGCACGCACAATCTTGTACTGCGAATGCAGATAGTTCACTCGTGCGAGGGCGATCATAGCGCGAGGGTCGTCTGCCGCTTTCGCATCGGGGCGACCGTTGTTCTTCTCGGCGACTTGTGGGTCCAGGAAGCCAGAAATAGGACAGCCGAACCAGGTAGCTGTCATCAGTGATTGAGGTTGACGTGAGTTAAGGTTATGGCAGCCCCTAGATTCGAGGCGGACGGCACGTACATATTAGGATTTCGGTCTAATATGAGGTAGAAAACGTCATCGGCCAGTGGCAAAGAGAGGAAGTTACTACACGCACGTCGGCATACCGCCTCGAAATTGTCTCCTGCGACGAGAGCTGCTTGGTGGCTTTGAGAAGCTTCGAGATGGTGGGCTAAACGGCCGTGAGCGCAATGTCTCGTGAATAGTGTAATGAAAGACACGTACAATCCCATAGGTTTTGAAGAGCGCAAAGGCCAGCGCATAGTTCAGGAGCAAGGGCATGTCGTACAAAGCAGAGGCGTGCATGATCTTCTGAGCCTCCTCTGGCGTGATTCTCCCCTTTCCCTTGTTCCACTTCGACCCATATTCACGGTGGATCGCATTGTAGCGCCTCCACCGGAAGACCCTCACAATCCCGACCCACACGAGGAGACCGCCGACCGCTGCTTGGACCGGGGTGAGATTTTGGAGGCAGTTGATGATGTCGCCATGTTGAACGGGCAGTCGTTGGAGCAGTCGTTGGGCGGCCGCCAGGAAGCCGTCAAAGGAAGGGAGAGTTAGTTGGGAGGCCATGGTTTTGGAAGGGGAGGCAGAGAGTGGTTAAAAGCAAGCGAATTTCTCGGAGGTGCCTCATCCGTCTGTGTTCTTTGCGTAGCTCCCTCGAGGCTTGGCTTCAGGGCTCCGTTTTGAGACAGAGGGGTGCATGGGCGCGTGATGCGTGTCACCAGGGTCTTCAAGCATTTCTGACATTTGAGTTTGAAATCCCCGCATTGCGACTGGGACTCAGCGTAAATTGAAATGACTGTCGGCTTGAAAAGGCACCCAGATCCAACGTCATCACCCGTACGTTCGCATATAGACCTTGCAGTACAGAACTGGCGGTACTTAAGATGAGCTGAAATTTGAACGTTACAATCGGCCAAGCTTCTTGTCGTCATGATTGTGGCGCCAAGTCTGCGGATGTTGTCGGACGATCGTGGGAATTCTTATAGTTCGGCAAGATCGACTCCGCAAATAGAATGCTAAAAATATACTTACACACAAAATCACCGTTTTTTTTTTTTTTTTTTTTTGGATCAGCATTTATATACCGCAACAAGTATCTAGTACTAAGACGCGGTGCCCTTAAGGGCCTAGTGTAATGTAAACTATTAAATCTAACAGTAAGAATCTATAAATCTTGAAATGATATCAATGTCTCGCGGAAATGTATAGCTGTACTTTATCGAAAATTGTGAAATTAAAGAAATGGTAGGAGGTGCCTTGAAGGCGGTCAGGCTGTTGCACGGATGTGCATAACAAAATCACCGTTGAAGGTCACTCCAATCACAACTGGATGCGTCTTGCGATAATGGTGGATAAGCAATTCAATTCTGTGCGCAGATTTTCATCCACCGAGCACAGTGTGTGTATCAGTGTGACTGAGAATGACATGGACCGATGGACCACGGCAGTGACGACGCGGTGTAGCAGTGCATGGTCGATGCGATGCCGATAAGGCTAGAGTTTGTTTGTGCACAGGCTGCGAGTCTAGTAAGTTGCCAGCTCCTTGATTAATTTTAAAAGGTCAGAAACGCGGTTCATTGTTGCTGACGTGTACAAAACTGATACGCCTGGGCGAAGAGCGACTCTCTGAACTTCTTCTCTCGGTTCTGTAAGAAAAAATAGCCATGGATTCTGAGATACACGCCTTGACGAGCGAAGTGCGACTGCGGAGTCTGCGAACGGCTGGTGGATATGGGCGAGGGCGGCTGGATACGATGGTTCGGTGAAAATACCGGGAAAAGGTGACGCGAGGAGCATTCTGAGGTCATCTCACAAATAGCTTCTTCGATCGGATGGGCCTCGCAGCCCCAACATGACCAGTCTCTGCCTGGTACGCTCTGTACGCTTCGCGAAGATGATCGGGCGACAACGGGCCTCCTTCGCCTCGTCGTTGTTGCACTGCTCGCGCTAGAAGAGACACGTAAGCGGACATCGGTTGAGCGGCCAAGATGACCATGGATAATTGCTATCCGAAAGGTATAATGGGGTCGAAGGAGGGGCTTACCCTTTTCGACGATCTCTCCTACGAATACTTTCGCGAAACCTGCGATGATTTGGGCGACGGGCTGCGAGACCTGGTGACCCAGGGACTGTTGGACAACCTGGTTTGGATATGTGAGACCGGAAAACGATGCGATAAAGGGGTAGCAGGTAACGTACCTTCCTTACTGCTTGCTTAGGCAGTGCATGACGCCGATACGCCTCGAACCTGTCGTACTGTGCTGGACTGAAGTTATCCATTAATACCCTGGAATCAAGGTTCGGGTCAGCAAGCATCATGAAGAAAGAAGACAAACACGCACTTCAGGTTATCCTTCGACTGACTCTGCCACGACAGCTGGGCAGAATAATCATCGTCCGCCATCGCAGGCAGTAGCTCATCATCTCCTTCCACATCCTCGTCAGCAGGGACCACCCGCCCAATCGGAGGTGGTGGCTGAGACGACAATCGCTGCAGAGGCAAAGTCAAACCTGTAGGCCCATCCAACCTCGGGGTACCAGGTACGGAAGCCAACCCGCCCGTACCCATCAGCGCTGGGTCAATGATAGGCCCTAGGGCTTGAGGGACACTCCCATCCGCCGGTGCTGCTCCTCCTGCTGCCTGGGTAAAACCCGACGGACCCGCTTCCATGTTCCCACTTGCCTCCCCGGGCGTTGACCCTTCCGCCCAACGCACCCTGGGGAACTGGGAGCCTCCTGGACTAGGAGCAGCGAACGTCGTTGGTGTTGAAGTTGGTGCGGGGGTCGATGTAGCACTGAACGTGTTGGTGATGAACGGTCGGGGTGATGACGCGCCTGCGACTACCGCACCCTTGGGCTTTCGACCGCGTTTTGCGCCTGTTGCCGAGCCTCTGGGACGTCCACGACCTGGTGTTGGTGTCGATGGTTGGTTTGATCGAAGCTCGCGCTTGAGAGAACTGGTGTGAAATGTGTTGATGTTGGTTGGGTGGCAGGATACGTGGGTTGGCCATTGGTGCTAGTGGCATACGAGGAGTAGGGGGTCGTCATCGTCGAATTCCAAACAAGGCCACCAAGGAAGCGCAGGAGATGACAGTGGTGAAATCGAAAGTTTGCAGCGTCGTGGTGGTTTTGACCAAGTCAGTGGATATTATGTAATCAGCTCGACTTGGAGAAAGTCCGACGCGAGTCGACGTTCGCAACTCTTGACTCTGACCACGACCCTCGAAGCTGAAGCTGAATATCAACTGCTTGAATCCTTTTTCGTCTAACTCTCAAGCATCTGACCGGCCTTGCCGTGGAGCTTATACCTACGCAATGATCCTCCAAGTTGAAGGACAGGCAGGTGCCACACTCGAATTTCTTCGCCTGGAAAACATACCCCTGAATCTGGAGGGTAGCTTGGACAATGGACCGGTATTTCCTGTTCATTCGCGTGTGTGAGACTTGAAGAGCTAACGACGATGGTGTAGACATCCAGACGTCTTCTGGGCGGGCTATTCGTCCTCCGGCGTTGTTCAGCCGATAGCGTTCGTCGTATACCTCGATCTTCCTATTCAAACCTTTGCTGAAATACTAGCTCAACAGAAACTTCTGGGAATAATATGAGCCAATTCTCATTCACATGGGCCAAACTGCTCCGCGGATGTACAGCGTTTAATGGCCTACGTCGACGAGCTATTCGCGCCGCAAGATATTACGGGCGTAACGGAGCTCGACGCTCAGCTCGTAGGTCTCTTCCTCGATCCCACAAGATTTCTGTCAGGGAGTCAGCCGTTTCCTCGCCTGGATCCATGTCTATTGACACTAAAGTTAATAATTCCTTGTCTTAGTGACACGTCCCATATCCCAGTGGCAAGGTACACAACCGTCCGACGTAGGAAGCTCGTTGTTCTGCAAGTTCTGCGACCGCGTAGAAGCCCTAGAAAATGGATCGATCGCAGATGCGAACGGCTGGGTCTCGAGCAAACCGTCAAGGGATACAAGACGTGCTTCTGGGTTGATTTCCTACGAAGCACGCCACCTCCGAGATCGATTCCTGTTGAGCATAGCAAGATATCAAGACAGATTTCCGACGATATATTCGATACTATCCCTGACTTCATAGTTTGGACCTGAACGACATACGCGTGCCCTGAGATGTCTTCGAAACTCTCTGCTCACAATTATTTGCTGTCGTCAGATGCAAAGAAGTCGGGTGACTCCAAGGAGAAACTCTCGAAGGTCATTCTGCAATTTCTGCTTACCAATACAACCTGACCATCAACGAGGTCTATTCTTTCTATTCTCCTCGACGCCTCGTCCGTTGACCACCTGCTGACAATCGGCTCTCTGTAGGTTGAACTACCCAGTCGTGTTTGGAAATACTACAATCGAGTCGCGTGTGACACTCACGAAGCGCAAATATCCAGGATGAAACATGCGGCCTATTGACGGCCTGTTTGTTGTCAACGGCGAGCGCGACTCTTTCGGCGCCGTCGCAAAGGTCGAAGATCAAGAGCACGCCGCTGCGTCTCATTCATCTGGGAACTGGGTTTCATTGTAACGATATGCAGATCCAGGAAGGGCAATACGACAAAACTATTGCCCGTATTCACCGAGAGGCTATCTCGACGATGAAGAAATGGCTGAAATGCTTTGTGCTACGACCACAGACGTAACGAGTTGAACGACAGTCGATGACGAGCATGTATTCTTGTCTGTGGGTAATCCGAGCAATTTTCTGTCTAACAACCCGATTCGTGATACCCAAGAGATTCACAAGCCTTAGAATGGAAAAAAATTGAGGAGATTTCGATGAACAAGTTCCTTTACGTACTACGCTAAATTGAGTGCGCGTACGGGACGTTTGTGATCCTCTATATCCAAACAAAGCAGTTGCCCTGCTTCTCTAAGCCCCACTTGTCGGTCAATGTCGGGAATCCATCGTTGGTAAAATTTCTCTGACCAGGTAGTGCCCAGTTGAACATCTATAAATTGAAGTGTCGGGCATTGCGCGAAAAGGCGGCCTGTGTTCAGAGGGGATGGCCATTCCAGCATGCGTCCATTCAGTTGCCTGGCAAATATGAGGCCCATGAGGGAAGTGAACTGTGGCAGTGTCAGGACAAAATCCTCCTGGGAAGGATTTAACCGTAAAGAAAATAAGCAATGAGTCCAAAGTGATCACTTACGTCATAAAATATTTTGAGGTATTGTAGGCTATTGGCTAAATACCGTGCCATGGATGATATGGAAGGGACATTGAAGTACCACTGCAGGTATGTGAATGCCTTCAGATGACTGAATTCTCTGTCTAGATGACCGGATTCGTTGACGGGGGAATATGAGCCGGTAATGGAGCTCCACACTAGAGTAGAGACTTTCCGACAGGGAAGGATTGCACGAATGACGCTGTAGGAGCTTTTAAGATATTGGAGATTGGGACAAGCAGTTTGAGGAAGCGGATGGTGTTTGACAAAGCTGTTGATGTCCAACGTCTCGACTTCCAACTTGCGAAGCTGTGTCTGGCTTTCTAAAAATCGATAAAGAATGGAGCCCGCGCCGAATGGTAGAGTATCCATCCAACGAAGGCTGTCGAGCTGGAAGGGGCAATTTTGCAAAAATGTAGGAGGTAGATTGAGGAAAATGTCGAGATCCAGGTGTTCGAGTTTGACCATGGCGTCCAGTATCGGGCCTGGGCACAGAGGTGCGAGAATAGCGTCGGCCTCTTCTGTCTCAAAGTGTTGCACAGTATACGTGCGAACGTACTTCGCCAGCGCTGGATTTATAGAAAGAATTCTGGGGTTTGCCCAAGGAAATGTCTCGGGATCCGTGTCCTGCATCCAACCCACCGTTCTGTACAGCAATTTTCTGGATTCTTCGCAGAGACTTCGGTTCACAAGCGCGACAGCGGCTAAGGTTTTGAAATCACCGTCGATAAAGTGGGGGATACTGATAATAATTTCGACCGGAAGACGAAGGTCCATCGAATCGAGAATGGTGTTTTGACACATGAAAGATAAAGAGTCTTGTGATAGAGATGCGAACCAGGGGGTTCTGCTGAGGATCGTAGGGTATCGTCAGATTGTTTGGTGGTGGTGGTTGGAGGAGATCTGAGATGCTGCCACCTGTACAGTGTACCACAGTACGATCTTATCTTATCTCCGATCTCCTGGCACCCTTACACACCCTAACACCGAGGCCTTTATTTTCCACATTCCACTGTCAAGCGTAACCCGAGTTCAAAACCTCGGAATTTCACGACCAATCTCGTGGTGTCGTCCTACACCGCGATTTGCGGGGTAAACGGCGTCCCTTTCGAGATGTCAGTCCATCTTCTATCCTAAGTGCAGCCTGGAGCAAATCTTTTGTACAGGTTTCTTGGGTCTTACCGGAGAAGCAGGAAGTATCATTGTATCAATGGATGCGAGCACTCCGTATGGCGGCAAAATTGAACCGTTATCGAGGTTGCTCATGCACATATACAGTGTAATAATACAGTCGCCAAACGATTGCCATTCGCTCAACCAGACGTCGACTCCTCTCTCGCTCAGACACCTTCGCCTAGACCTACTATATTCTCAGGGAAGAAGATAGAGTCCTCTGCGATGGTGCGCTACTTATCTCGGAAAGACGCCCATAGCGTCTGTAGGGCTGGCTACCCAGACGTAGGACTTGGCTTCTCTCGAGCAGGTCGTCTATGGTCGTCTATGGAGCTGGGGCAGACCGCGATACCCGGATTGGTCGATTTCTACCGGGCATTTGATCATATTTCTCCGACCCACGATGCTCTCCAGCTTTGGTACTTGGCACATCAGGTGCGCTGCAACTACAATCCAACCACTTTTTGAAGACTTTTAGGTCCTCTGTTGGGTAGAACTCGTCTACGAAGACCCCTCCCTGTACGGGCCAGGAATTTTACGGAAAAAACCTGCTTATTTAACTTCTGGAATGGATACGCGAACTTCGTTGCTGTAAACTGGTGGCGCCGTCATCGATGCCTTTGAAGCAATGCTCGGGTCGTTCAGATGATTGACACCCTCTCGCTTTCAGAGCCGTTCAATTTCAAATGTCATGTGCATACTTGTGTAACCGTACTTTTCGGAACACAGGAAAGGTAACATGCGCCCGCATAGCTCTCGGACGTACAAGTACACCTCTCTTCGTGCCGTACACCTGTACTTGCCGCGGCGGAGAAATTCGATCAATATCTTTGCATAAAGCGTCGACTTCCCTCCTCGAACATTTTCAAGTGGATTGAAGATGTTGTCTCCTCCCTTAACCGCTCTTATTTGCCTCCTTGTCGTTCGCTGGGTCCCGGGGGTGATGTCTCGTCCACATGACAGTACTGCAGCACTTGCTGCTCTTGTCAACACCCGGTTCTTGACGTACCATCAGAAGGAGCTATGGATGTCGAATCTTGTCAACAAGCAAGCTAGCGAGGTCAGCGACGCGTTGGCTCCAGTGTACTACTTTGACCAGCCCATCGACTACTCGGATCCGGCAAGCGGCACCTTCAGGCAGCGATACTGGACCTCGCTGGAGTATTATAAACCGGGCGAGTAGTACCCTCCATGTAATTTTGCCTTATTAATCCACCCATGACCGAACAGGAGGCCCAATCTTTCTGACCACCCCAGGAGAGTCCAACGCAGCGAGTAAGCTTTCTCTGCTCATGTCTTACTGGAACGATACTGAAAACCTTACAGATCAATTTTCTGAAGACCTGACCAACGTTAGCATCCACGGGACTCTCGCCCAGTCAAATGGTGGGGCGATTGTGCTGCTGGAGCACCGCTACTACGGCGAATCTCTCCCTGCCGGCACCAAGAATTACAAGAACGCTACGACCCTCAAATACAACACCATCGACCAAGCAATTGAAGATATCGTTTATTTTGCCGAAAACGTCAAACTGCCTATGCCTGGTGGCGATTCGGAGAGAATCAGACCGCATCGGCGACCTTGGGTATTTACAGGAGGAAGCTATGCGGGCGCTTTGGTAACGTGGATTATGAATCGGTAAGGAAATCTTCTCTCCACTGCGGCATCTCGTTAACGATTTCAGCATCGCTACAGTCATCCAGGAGTATTTTGGGCGGGCTACTCATCCTCTGGAGTCGTCCAACCGATTGCGTGAGTCTGAACGGTTCACAGATTTAATAGCTGAGCATTCTCGACGCGCACAGTGATTTCTGGGAATACTTCGAGCCTGTCCGTCTTCATATGGCTCACAATTGTTCAACGGATGTGCAACGCTTTATGGCCTACTTCGACGAGCTCTATGACACTCATAATACCACAGGCATCGAGGACCTCAACAACCGTTTAGGTTTCTCACCAGACGGCGACTCCCTGCCAACAGGTAAGTTCCTATCTATAGGCCTGCCGGCCTGGTCCTCCAATAATGACATTCGCGTCTGTGTTTAGTAATGTTACCGATCCTCTTCTGGCAAAGCACACAACCATCTACAGTCGGCAGCTCATTGTTTTACAAGTTCTGTGATAGAATTGAAGTCCTCGACGATGGTACTATCGCAGGCCCAGATGGATGGGGTATCGACCACACAATTGCAGGTTTACGAACGTGGCTTTTCGAGGACTTTTCTGGCTCCCCGGATGGGCCCCTGGAGGACCCCAATGTTGAAGCAAGACAGTCGATACCTGATGATTGGTACGAAGAACTCGCCGATATCATTTCCTGGAACTGGATGGTGTATGTACAAGCACGAATATTATTTCTGTGGAGTTTATTTTATTCTTTACAGATGTAATGAAGTGGGCTGGATCCAGACGGGTGCACCAGCAGGACATCCTACACTCGTTCCTAGGCAATATAACTTGGCTCGTGCAGAGGTTCGTTCCTCGTCTTGGTCATTGAATTTTTCTTCCTCACAAATTGCCTTATTTTTTAGGCCAACTGTAGAGATATTCACCCCGATATATTTGGAGATAGCACGATAGAGGCTCGAGTCGCGCCAACCGCGCTTAAATATCCGGGTTGGGATATGAAACCTGTGGACCGGCTGTTTGTCGTCAATGGCGAACGCGACCCGTGGCTTGGTTCCACACTCTCTGCACCGTCCCAGAGAGAGAAGATAAAAAGCACGCCTCTACGCCCCATACGACTGGGAACGGGGTTCCATTGTACGGATATGCAGATGAGCGAGGCTGCGTACGATAAATCGATCGACCGCATTCAGAAAGAGGCGATTGCGACGATGAAGTACTGGTTGAGGAGTTTCGTACCAAGGCCTCATCTGTAAAATTTAAATTAGTGCCTAATTTGCAGCATCTTGTGTTCTTCTGGTTTAACTTTGGCGGCTACTACAGCTTTTGACCCCTATCCTCCCAGATCAACGATTTTTATCTTATCTTGGTTCATCACAAGCACGGAAGCTTTGCCGAGCTTTTGCATGGCTAACCTTTCACCTTCCCCTTCACTTTCCTTCTCCCTTGCAACACCAAAGCGCTATGGACCACGGCTAGGAAATATAATCTTTCGGCGCCCAGGCCTTTCGTCGTCCTCAGAACCTTCCCAAGCCCAGCTCGAGATCAAAACTCCGGGAATTTTTGCTACAACGTCGCGTGGCGTCGTCCCGCACCTCAGCCGCGACCACCAGCGCAGGACGGGCGCGATTCGCTGGGTGAACGTCCCATTTGAGACCTTGTGAGTGTACGTCCATGGTGTAGCGAGGGGTAGCAGTCTGGGATTGTCTGATTTTAACGTGTCATACCGCGTTGTTGACGCTGCAGTTTAGAGCACAACCCTCCGGCGCCGACGTTACAGCCTGGAGCGAATCCGTTGCATACGTTCCTTGGGTTCCTGCCTGGGATGCAGGTTGTGTCGTTGTCTGCGAGGGATCCGTATGATGGGAGGGACATGCCGCCGAATGGAAAGGACCATATATCAGTGTATAGTTTGCGAGGAGTGAGGAAGGTGCGTAGTATGAATCTTTTTTCTTTTCGCGCATCATTTCTCATCGTTACCCTCAGCTGTCGCCAAACGACTGGCGCTCTCATGTCCTCGCGTGCCAACCAGATGTCGTCTTCTCACTCTCCGACACGCCTTTCACCGACCCTCCGTACTCCCAGAAACGACTAACGAAGAGTATTGAGCGATCGGCGACGTGGCTAGCCAACCTTCTTCATCCAATCGATTCAGGAATCCGACTCAACGTGCTCGTACATATGGCTGGAGGGACAAGCATACCTGCCCGGAAGGCTTTTGCGGACAGCCTTCTCGAGAAGTTGTATGGACCAGAGGCAGATGCAGTCAAGCCATTTGCCACGCTCAATGAGGGTGTTCTGGGGTACACCTTCGATCTCAAGCCGCTTCGCCAGTCGTTAGAGGCCCAGGACAAGAAGACGGCCCCATCGGACAACGCTGACTTGGCCAGTCGCACAGAGCAGATCGTCCCTTTGCTTAAGGCCTCACTCGCCTCAACGCCCGAGGGCAAGGTCCGCTTGGTCAATTCGGCGGAATCACCCCATGAAATCTTGAAATATATCTCAAAGGTCGGCATTGACTTGTTTGACGCACACTGGGCACAGCGAGCGGCGGATGTTGGCGTTGCACTCGATTTCGAGTTTCCTGTACGGCAGGACGTAATAGAAAGCGATCGGAAGAAGGACGTGGGCAACAACCTCTATGACGAGCGATATGCATTCGATTTCGGTACCTTTGCGTCGAGTTTCCGCGGCGCCCTGCCTTCGTCGTCATCCCTCAGCGAAGATACCCGACCGATCTGCCCCTGTGCCGCCTGCTCACCCATCACACCATCCACCAAGATCTACCATGGCGCCGACACCCCTTCTTTCTCTCTGGAACCTTCTACTGCCCGCTCCGATGCGGAAACAGCATACAGACCTCCGTACACACGGGCCTATATCCACCATCTCCTGCACACGCACGAAATGTCTGCACATGCGCTGCTCGTGATGCACAACCTCGAAGTGCTCGACGCGTTCTTCGCTGGGATCCGGGTCGTCCTCTCCGACACTCCGGAGAAGTGGGACGAGGAAGTGCAGAGGTTTGAATGGACGTATGATGCTAGTATGAGAGTGTGTGTCGAGGCGAGAGAAAGGTGGCGAGAGATTGATCTAGCAAGAGGAAAGGGGAGGCTGGCGAGAGAGAGAACCAAGCAGGAGGAGATGGAGGGTCCTGCGGATGCACCGACGATGACTTAGATGCGAAGCATCGCCCATTTTGTTGCACATTTGGGTTTCTCTTTCTGGGGTAGTAAAGGATTCATCCGCCTTAGGACTTCTTTCGCCTAGTATTAGAGTGTAGATGTCAGAACGACATCCTTTAGTGTTCTGCTCAGCTTAATACGATTGAACGTTCTATTGGTCGAGGAATTTTTCAATTTCACAAATGTTCATCTTGATCCTGCCTGCAACGGTGGTGGAGAAGCACGAGGTTCCCGATGAAGTAAACGAAGCCAAATGTAGAAATGCTCCGACAAGTTCGTCTACAACCACCACAACCTTCAGGATACTGCAATGGTCAGGGGGTCTCGCCGCGGTAAGAATGCAGTCCAGCCAACCACCGACACCGCCAATGCCACCGCGGGCACGAGCACAAGTGGACCGCCTCTTCCAAACGTCCCCTCACCATCGCCAGCGTCGTCGGACTCGTCAGACGCCGAAGACGTGTCCAATATGAGCGAGATGCATGCGGAGAGCTCACACGGGTACTCGGCGTCGCGTCCTGCGTCGCCCAGTCAGCCAGGCGAGGGCCCGGAGCAGGAGGACAGCGTTACGTGTCAGTGGGGGGAATGTGGGGTCGTCTTCACGCACCTGCCGACGCTGATTGACCATATTCACAACGGTGAGTGCGATTTGCTTGGACGAGAGCATGAACGTTTTTTATCCTCGCTTTGTAGAGCATATCGGGGTGCACAAGTCGAACTACACCTGCGAATGGGCCACCTGCGGACGGAGAGGAATACCACAAACGTCGCGATTTGCTCTGATATCGCATATCCGGTCGCATACAGGAGAGAAGCCATTCATCTGTGTTCTACCAGGTACGCTTATATTTGAAATTCTCCACGCCACACATCTTAAACTTTCTTCAGAATGCGACAAATCCTTCACCCGTTCGGACGCGCTGGCCAAGCACATGCGCCTTCAACATAACATCTCACCACCTGCCCCAGGACGAGGTGGTTCGCGGAAACGAAAACGCGGCGCAGACGACAACACGACCCAAGGAACCTCGACCCCCGTGCCGGTATCTACCCCTCTCCCATCTATGCCCCCTGCCAGCGCTTTTAACAAGTTCAAGGTCGAGCCCAATACGCCGTCGGAGCACATCGACTCGGAGCTCGGTGGAGATGTGAAGCACGACTACTTTACCCCTGCCGCCTCAGGACGCGGTGGCAAGGCGTCGAACGCGAATGGAAGGCAGACAAGGAGGCCCAGGCAGTCCGCACTGCAGAACGAAGTGCACACACCGACTCCGGAGGAGACTGGGCCGGCTCAGGGCGGAGGAGAGGAGGAGGATGGATATGCGTCTTCGTCGTCGGACGTGCTGCCACCGTATCTGCAGGCGCAGTACGACGAGGCGACAGGGCTGGTGTTGGGTTGTACCCCCGCGAAGGCGATGTACCTCCTAATGAAGGCGAAGGAGCGATACGCGGTTGAGCAGCGTGATATACTGGAGGAGGAGCTCAGGCGGATGAGGGCGGAGCTGGAACGGGAGAGGGACGAGAAGGAGGTTGCGTTGGACGATTTGCTCTATCAGACACTCGGGTATGTTATCCTCATCTCCTTCCTTCCATCTAAATATGACCTGTCTCTGGCAGGCCAGAAGCCGGCCTTCTCATGCCACCAGCCTACCCCCATGACAGGCTGTCGTCTCACTCTCACTCTCACTCTCACCCTGCTCCTCTACCTTTACATCCCGGAGCTGGGTACCCAATGGGTCCAAATGACCCTTACGCCATGCCTATCATGCAAAATGGATCCTCGAGTCGCGTTCGAGGATGATGAGCTTCCCTTTACTGCTTGGTTTTATGACTGTATTTGACAATGTTGTATTTTATTACTCTCGCTGTCGGTGTCGCTACCTAATCAATGTTTGCTTTCTCAACAATTCATTCTTCGCCAACAGTGAGTTCAAATCCATTGGAAGTGAATTACTTGTCTAAATTTTGTCTATGTGTTGCTCAAAAGTCGAAGAGGTAAAAGTCTTCTGGACGCAACCTTTGTCTCGCTCTGCAGAAGGAATCAATCGCTCGAACGTCCTCATCTCGGTTTTACCGACCCTATTTCCTTTATAGTGGATATCCGCAAACTGGAGAAGTGGACAGTGCTTGAAGAATTGGCCTGTTGCTATGAAGTGCCGTACTGGACAAAAATGACTTCTAATTTTTTTCTAAGCCCTGTTTATGAAGAAATCTTGAGGATTCCTCGAGATATTTCAAGATTCTTACACAATCCTTGAGATTTCTAGGGAAACGTCAAGAATTCTTAATTACCCTTAAGATTTCCTCAGAAATCCTGGAGAATCTTCAAGAAAACTAAAGAATCTGTGAGAATGAGCTGTTTTATTTTCATGGGTCATTAGGAATGCTCGAGAATCTTTTAGAATATTTAAGAATCTTGGTGCCCAAAAGGCTCTATTCTTAAGGAATATTAAAGATTACTGCGTTCTTTAGAAGGCTAACAGCATGAAAAAATGGGCTGTTCTTAAAGATTCTTAAGGAATCTCAAGGATTCTCAAGGATTCCCAACAATTACTCGGTTTTCCTTAATATAATTTTGTTTTCCTAAATATTCTTTGAGAAAACTGATGAAAACTGATGAAAACTTCAGATGGGCCTGAAAATAAAATTGATTTTGATTTTTGTCCAGTACGGACCGTCATATGTTGCAGACGGCGTCCGAACTTTCAGCATGACGCGAGGGAAATACGCGGATAGGATGAGGCCTATGAGGCAAGGGAGAGACTTGACGACAGACAGGGAGTCAGGTTCCTGTCATGGAAGGGTCAGTTCGCATAGAAAGTGGCCTGCCAGCAATCACACACCATTTGAGAGAGTTCAAGAAATTTCAAGTTCTTGGGATATCGGGGTAGCACAAAGGAGAAAGGAGACTTCTTCCAATTCCGCAATGCTCAGAGCCTTGAGGTTACCAAATTCATCCGCCAAATGATCCAGGGAAGTTGACCATTGTGTTTCGTCGAAGCGGTGGTCTTCGTTCCAGTTCAAGATGGATACATTCCGTCCAGGGAGAATTGCCTCGACTACAGCGCGGCTGCCTTCAAGATATTCGAGCGTAGGGCAGCACTCCGGTGCGAGAAATCCCTTCTCGCACTGAAAACGGCCCAAGTCGACTTTAAGCCAGCGCAGCTGAGTTTGCGTCTTGAGGAACGTGAGGAGTGGGGAGAAACTGATTTCACCCCAGCTCAGTTTCTCCAGCTGGAATGGGCTCCTCTTGAACCCGAGCAAATATTTTGGGGCAGGAAGGAAATAACGAAGTTCGGGGACAGCTCCTTGAGGTTGACAAGCTTAATTTTCGGGAACTGACGAAGGGGTGCTACATCAGCAGGCTCGAGACGGTAGATGGTGTATGGATATCAGAGAACGTTGTGTGTACATATTTCCCGAGATGAGGAAAGTCCTGCAGGTGCTCTGGTCTGCAGCCAAACTCGTTTGCCTCCCGTGTGGCAACCGTGTGATAAAGGATTGCTCGAGAACGCTCGCAGAAGAACTTGTTGACGCGGGCAAGTGAGGTCAAAGATCTGTAGTCGTTGGCTTCTATGATGATGTCGACGGTGCTGTAAAGAAACCTGGACATGGTGAATGTTAGCAGGGCCTAGCTTGGATGAAATGAAATTTCGGGCGTACATTTTTAAACCATGTTGAGTAGAATACGATGGTGTAGTCTCGTTGACCAGACTAAATTGTATTTCTTTTTGTTGAGAAGACAATCTGACGATGGTGATGGTGTTGGTGAAGGAGTGTTTGCGACGATTTCCATCACGTGTGCTTATTGCAAGACGCGTTGAAGACGCGTTCAGAATCGCGGTAATCATTTTCCCGCGAAATTGCAATTCGATGTAACTTCAACAGGTCTACAGGTACATGTGTTCCTCAATAGACGAAGAGATGAGTTCCTTCTGGATGCAACCCTCGCGTCTGTCGAAGGATGCCGTCCATCGCTCGTTGACCATCTTGATACCAGCCCGCCGACATTGGATATCAATAAACTGGAGAGTTGCGCTGCACCTGAAGAGCTTCCCTGTCTCAGAGGGCGTCCTGAGATACCCTGTGTCTCTTTTTTGGGCAGAATGAAAAGGCAAAATGACCCCTACGAGGCATGGAAGCATCGAGAAGATGGAAAACAATTCGGGCTCCTGTCATGACGGACGGTGAGACCTTACAGTGAAATATCAGGGAAAAGAATAATTTACCTCATGAGACAGCGCAATATACTGCAAGTTTTTCAGATATTGTGGTAGCACATAGGAGAACGGTGACCCGTCTCCCCATTTCAAAAGCCTCAAAGCCTTGAGGTTCCCGAACTCTTCTGACAAATGGACAAGCGACCTCGGCCACGACTCTCCTTCGAAACAACACCGCGTTACTTCATCCCAGTCCAAAATGGACACCTTCCGCCCAGGGAGAATCGTCTCTACAATGGCGCGATTGCCTTTAAGATACTCCAACTCGGAGCAGTACTGGGAAGGGAGTTGCTGCCATCCACACCTGTCTTCGAGCTCCACCTCAAGCCGACGAAGTCGTGTTTGAGTCTTAAGGAACACGATGAGAGTGTCGACATTCGGGCAATCCGTCCAACGAAGCTTCTCCAGCTGAAACGGGGCTGTCTTGAACTGGAGGAACTTCTGTGGCAAATAGCCGTTGAGCCCGATGGAGAGCTCCTTGAGGTTGACGAGCTTGGCTTTTGCTCTCGGACGTAGAGGTCGGACGTCGGTCGCGCGAGTATCGAGGTGCATGCAAAGCGAGGAATGGCGTACAATGTAGGTGTGGACGTATTTTGCGAGGTGCGGAGCGTCTTTTAGACACTGAGGTTAGCCACCGAACACGGTGCTTAGGGTAGAGATTGTGTGATAGAGGATTGCTCTGGCTTGCTCGCAGAAATATCTGTTGGCGCGGGCAAGAGAAGCTAAGGATTTGTAGTCGGAGTGTTCTGCAATAATCTTGAAAATAGAATCGATAATTTCTACAGGCAGACGAAGTCCGGCTTCAGACTGCTCCTCCATCGTCAGATCCATCTTAGCTGAGGTTCTGATCCTGTCGAGAAACCTGAAATCGGTCAACTCGGAAAGTCACTGCTGGATAAATAAGATAACTTGTTCGTTAGACTCACTATTTCCAACTGGATGCAGCGGTATGGAGTCGAACTTGAGAGAAGGAGCAAGAATGACTCATGTTCTCCTCATGTCGCGTCGGCTGTTTGCGGCGCTTTCCCCGAATATCACTAACAGCAGTTGTTATTTCCCAATACTTACTTGTTTCGATGGGCACCAAAGCCACGAAGCTCAACAGTCCTTGGTGGTCGCTGCCGAACAGTCATGCCATGAGCGGCTCAGTGGCCCTTTTAGAGTATCAGAATTTCCGAACAAGGCAATTGTGGCTTCATGATTGTCCACCGCTTGCGAAAGTGGCACCGGGCCATGATATATTTAAAGGGCTTCCCACAGCGGCCACAGGGGTCGTTCCTTGTTTATTTCCACTACGGCCTGGACTGCAGTGGACGGTACGTTCAGCGTTTGCAATTCGACGTTGACCTGATGATTTTCGCTCTTAGCCAGTCCCGCTCATAACCAATGATGGAGGAGCAAATTACCAGACCCACTCTGCAAACGCTTACCAAGGCAGATGAGTCTCTGGTCGCCAAACGCACACTCAACATCTCCCAGCCCTTCCTCGAGTTTCCAGCCGAGATTCTGGCGGACATCGCCCTCATCGCCGTGCTCTCTAGCTCTCGCGCCAACGCTGGGTCCTCCACAAACCTCTCACCTGCGAAAAGAACAGCCCTATACCTCTCAGCGGTGTGCCACCACCTGCGTCTTGTCGTCGTCGGGCATCCTCTCATCTGGGGTTTCCTCGTCGACTTCACCTACCCGAACTCACAAATCAGTCCTGCCAGTGCAATGGAGCAGCTCCAGGTATTCCTCGCGCGTTCACGCGACGCGCCGCTGCACCTCGAGGTCCGAAACCACCGTAGCTCTCGCAACACCATTATGGCCGAGCTCGCTCCGGGTCGGTCCAGCAGACTCAAGATGTACAGAATGACCGTGTCTGAGAAGCAGCTCGCGAAGATCGTCGTCGAAGGCTTCAAGAGAGAATTTCCGACTTTGGAGGGCTTGCACTTGACCGCACCAGGAATTTCGGTCAGAGTTGGAGGGGAGTTTAGACCGTTGCAGAAAATGGACATGCCGGTGCAGCGCTTGCCACCAACATTCCGCGCCCCACGGCTGAAGTTCCTTATCCTAAGCGGGTTCATGGTCGACTTCAGTAAGATCGGGATATCTGTCAACTTGGTACAGCTCAGCGTCAGGAATATTCTGCCGCTTTCTGGTGCACCAGGGGTAGACATGTGGTTGGACGTCCTGCGTGGCACACCGGCCATGCGCATCCTCGTCCTCCAGCTCGCAATCAACCCCGACGCAGACAGCGCGTCTGGTGCAAAGGGGAGCCAGGACAACATTAGCCTTCTCCGCGCGGAACAAGTCATGATTACGTCAACTCAAGACGTTTGCTACACCCTTCTCAGTGCACTCGTGCTTCCAGAGACGTGCGGTCTCGCCATCGAGGCCAGCGTATGTGTCCCGGGTTGGAAGCTCGATGCTCTCTTGAGGATATCCGAAAGACAGATGCGAAACACTCTCCGCCTCGCGGAAGGCGAGCTTCAAGTGCGTTTGAAGAAACGTTTCTTACAGGTCCGGACGGCCAAGGACTGGGGAAGGCAAGGCATGAACCTGGGCGAGCTGGTGTTGACATTCGGTGGCGGTGTCGACTGGCCAGAAATCCATGGAGACCCCGCCGACGCGATCTATTGTCCTGAAAAGGCGACGCATAGCTTGATGGATTTTGTTCGTCCGGTTGGCGATGGGTTCGCTGGTCTTTTCGGGGAAGTAACGGCGCTCTCCCTTCGAGTGTCGATTTTCGCAATTCCGGACACGAACGGGGCCCAAGAAACTGAGGGTGATACAGAGGCGAAATTGGGTTCCTTTTGGAGCCGCTTCCGAAAGTCCAGGAGAGTCAGCGTCGGGATACATGGGCTTACAGGACTGTGTCATGTCCTGAAGCAGAGCAGCCAAATCATGAGCGATCCAAACACGGAAGACGTCGAGGCAGAAGTGGAAGAAATCATTTTCCCGTCTATGGTCGTCTTGTCGATAACGCAAGACAATATATGCGCGGACGATGACGAAAGGGGAAGCAGGGTTAGAGAGCGTACCACACCTGCATCCAATGCCATTCAATACTGGCAAGGAGTCAGGGACAAAGTCATAGACTATTTGAGGTGGAGAAATACCGGTCCAAGAAATGTTGATATCCAGGAGGTCGAAATTTCGAGGAGATTGCCAGTAGATGATTCCTTCTTGAGGCAGATAAAATCCTTTGGGGCAACCATCTCATTTAAGAAAGCTTAGAGTTAGGAAACACCGATAATTGTACCTCACTTGTATAATTGCCATTAAATTCAGCGCGGCCCAGTTTCCTGAGCCGGCGGGCGTGGAGTGACGTGCGATTGAGGAAAGGACAAAGAGCGGCATACTCCGAGGCTCAGATAGACGATTGGTCAGCATGGTCTCTCACTGCTTCTTTCTTCGAACCACCACGATTGCAAAATCTGAATCGACGACCAGAGGATCGACTGTTTGACAACGAATGCGAATCTCCTCATGTCCCAGAATTTGCCAACCGAAATCATAATTTCCATACCGCACTTGCTGGTCCCGGCATACGATATCAAGACATTGGCTAGTCTCGCACTGAATCAAGACGAATATTGTATAGAACGGTCAATCATACTGCCAGAAAGGCTGTGCATGAACCAGATCTCACAACATTATCACTGAATCCCGCCCTGGGTAGATATGTGCGCAGCCTACAATACACCTGGCACCCGTATTATGAAGACACAGTGGACGGAACGGTCGCAGATGCCCTGTTCCTCCTTCCTAGCCCCATCTTGGACTCACTTGTAAACCTCAAACACCTTGATGTTCGGATCCTCACCTTCGAAACTCTCCCCAACGATTTCCTCGACAACTGTCCTTTCCAGCTCAAGACTCTCCGTTGGACAGAGATCAGGAATGATCACAACCAGGTTCTTAGTCGACTTTTGGGAAGACAGACCGGACTCGTGAAGCTTCACCTTCTTCTGGGTGGGAAAACCGAGTTCTGCAAACCTGCCATTCCTCTCGAAGCTTGCCCGAAACTGCGTTATTTCAGCGGACCATCTGATGTGATTTGTCGCATGCTCCGCCAGCGACACATTTCGACTTTGGTGTGGCAACATTCCGGAGAGGGGTCTGCACACGAGCTCGAAGGATTGAGTCGAGAGCTCGGTCAAATCAAAGCCTTCTCATTTCGCCGAAGCACCAGCCAACCAACCTTCGCATCGATATCCAAATACTTCCTCAATAACCTACAATACCTAGAGGTGCTTTACACGGTAGGGAAATTTTCGTCCTGTAATACTTCTTAATTGACACTTGAATAGGAGCCTAATCTCCTTGCAACGCTTTCGAAGTTTGCTCGCCTCATAGGCCTTATATTCATGTCAACGAGCCGACTTTTTGCAGTTAGACCCAGAGAATTATCAAGTTCTCAGGCACCAACGGAGACCGGCCGATTTTTCACTCAGTGCACAGGCCTTCGCTTTATCGACATCGAAGTAAACCACCATAGCAACTTGGGCCGGGGAAGTTTCGAGCGGTGGATACCTACTGACGAGCGGCGTGGGCTGGGTATAAAAACGTTCGAAAGGTCTTTTGCCTGTTCTGACATTGAGGACCACATACGCGTGTTTCAACACTAACTCTAGTTTGAATGCGACCTCCTTGATTACTCCACTGTACATGGGCCTGCCGCTCTTGCGATCCCTTCATGCAACTCCGAACATGAATCAAGCTACGCTGCCTGGGGGCCGAGTCTTGATACTATAGGACTGATACATTGAAATTGCCAACCTAGATCCTATAACTAAGGGACTCGCGGAGTCAAGGCTACGTCGTTAAGCGGCCATTATACCACCCACGTTTGCCCTCCATCATCGCCGACTGTTTTTTTCAAGAGCCTTGAGTATCTGGAGGTTTTTCCTAAAATACATAAGGGTGGTGTTGACGAGTCATTAAATATGCATATGCTCTTCTATTCCACCAGAGACGAATATCCTCTCAAGCACCCCCTCGTTCCTTTGAGCTGAAGGAATCCACCTCTCAAACTCTGCCTTTATTCCCGATCGTCCATGTTCTATGTCAACGAACTGGAGCGAGGGACAGGCAACGAAGAATTCGCCAGTGACGGATGCAGATCTGATCTCCCCTATATCCCTTGTGTAGCCGCGGTGAAGTGGAAAGATGACGCCTATAAGACGGGGAAAGGAGGCGAGGATCAAATGTAAGGAAGGTTCCTACCATGAAACCGGCGTTGGAATATTGTGAGCTGGACATGACGAATTGACGTACCTCGTCCGACAGCTCGAGATATTGCAGGTTCTTGAAATATTTAGGCGAGACGAAGGAGAATGGAGAGCCGCCGCCTTGCCACCTTATGAGACTCAATGCCTTCAGGAGGACAAATTCATCCGCAAGGTGGTCGAATGTCTTGGGCCAAATATTATTAGCAAAAAGGTTCTGAGAAACGTGCCAGACCAATGTCGATATCTTCCGACCTGGCAGAAGACTCTCGACGACGGCACGGCTGCCCTCGAGATACTCCAAATTGGGGCAATATCTCAGTGGGAACGGGATGTTCTTTTGTTCATAATAGAGGTCCGTCTTGAGCCGACGGAGCTTCGGCTGTGTTTTGAGGAAGTCGAGGAGGGTGGAGAGCCTGGGGCATTCCACCCAGGAAAAATTCTCGAGGTGGAATGGCGTCCTCTTGAACTCGAGGAATTTATTGGGTGAATAGCGGTTGAGCTGCACATGGAGGTCTTTTAAATTGACGAGATTCTTCGAGATTGGACCCGGACGGAGAGGTGCAACATCGGTCTTGCGAGTATCAAGATGGCGACAGAACTCGGAGTGCTGAATGATGTAAGTATGGACATATCTTGCAAGCCTCGGGGACCTTTGCAAGGATTGAGGGTTGCCTCCGAACTCACGATCGAGGTTGGATACGGTGTGATAAAGAATCGTCTGACACTGTCCGCAGAGGTGCTTGTTGACGCGCGCCAACGAAGCAAGAGTGCGATAATCTAGGTCTTCCCTGACTAGCCTGACGATCATCGATATAATTTCCACAGGCAGGCGACAGCCAGAGTCTAATCGTTTGTGGTCTTGTGCATCCATGCCACCACGGGTCCAAGATCTAGCATCAGCACAAGCCAGTGAAGTTCAATATCTGCAAGTGTATTCATGGCATATGTCGTACCCTTGTCCAAAAGTTCAGAGTTCAACGTTGAGTACTTGAATGACTGTCAAGACCTGAATGACTCATATTGTGAACCGTGGCCATTCGAAGGAAGCAGCCGTCAATCAAATTTCCATGATAAAACCACGTTTTGCCAATGACACTTTACGCTTTCGCGTGGATGAATGCCATTTACTCAACGACGACATGAGTGTCAAGGGAAAACGAGCTCGGGGCACGACGGTATACTTCTTGTGACTCCTCCAGAAACAGTACCGTGTGCCAACCTGAAATTACTCAGAAAGTGGGCAGCCTTTCTCTCGCATGCGACACGAGGCTGGAGGTTCCAAGAGTTAGTTGGAGAAAGAGTGGCAGAAGTAATTGACGGACCGGACAAGTTGCGTTTGTCAAACGTCCATATGATCCTCGATGCCGGAGGAGAGGAACACTCGCTGTAATACGCCTTCTCCTCTCTCCGCGCAAGGAATCCAGCGTTCGGATTTCTCCTTGCTGTATTGGAGGTCAGAAAATTCCAGACGGGCACACGAGGCAAAGAAGGCGCCTGTGCCAGAGGGTGTCTGAATTTCATCAGGGACTGCTGTTGCGCTGCTGTACCGGGGAATTGCGAGAATTATTCCTACGAGGCTGGGAATGCGAATGAGTGTCGAGATCAGCAAGGGCTCCTGCGGTGGTTTCTTTAGTGAATCGAGGATTCACCGCTAGAAGATCACTGACATCTTGCAAGTTCTTGAGATACTCAGGCAGCACGAGAGAACGGAGATTGGGGCTGGCTCGGTGGTTTCATGACTCGTAGTCCTCGAGGTTTGAGATGGTGTGGTAAAGGATAGACCTGGCTCGTTCGCAGAGGCTCTTGTTGACCAGCGCGAGCGAAGCCAAGGTACGACAGTCTCTGCTTCTTTCGACAATTTCGACAATGATCTCGATAATCTCCACAAGGAGTCGGTGCACGTCGGATTCACCTTGTGAATGAGGCTCCATGCTGGCGAGAAACAGCTAAACATATGCACCCAGAATGAATATTGAATATACACACCTGAACGCACATAAGAAAGACCTACTTTCAACAAGATTCCAAGGTGATGAGGCACAGGAAGGGAGGAGTAATGGTGAGCTGGTCGGCTTGCTTCGCGACTGAACTTCGCGACTGAACCAAGCTCAAGTTTCGACTCGAGCTTGAAAGCGAACTGGCACATCAAATTCGGCTATGACGGCATTATTTGGTCAACGCTTGTCCTTGTTGTACATTTCTTCGGGACATTTAGGCCATTTCAGACTTCGACTCCTGCATAACATTTCGTACATGAAGCTGGAATATTCGCCGTCGCACTTATCGTTCGTACGTCTACCTATCTTCTTGAAGGGTCATCAAGCTGATCGACGCATTTAAGCATGTGTTTCGCTGATTCCCGCAATCATGACATGGTCGCCAAGGTTTTGGCCAGCCCCACGCCGTATTGCCGCCAAGGGGGTCAGATATTGGGCAAGCAGCAAGAAATATGTTGGCTTACAGTCGGTGTTTGGTCACCGCCGTAGATTTCCACTCGACGGATGCAAAAGTATGTTCAGGTTGGCTCATCAATAACAACAACAGGAACCACAGTGTCGCAAGGAACATGCCGTTCTTTCTCATCGAGAGAAGCTTAAACGTTAAAACCATGTGCAAGTCGCCCCTCTATGCGCCATTTGGGAATATTAGGTCGCTCTCGCCACCGCCTGGGTCTCCATTTGAGGACATAGTAAGCATCAATTGATAACTTCGCTCTCGGAAACGTCTTACGACATTCCGACTCAGGCAACATATCTCTATGTCCCAACCTCTGGTAAATGAAGGTGAGAGATTATTTCTTGATGTCGCTGACCTTTACTTTATGAAGGCTTCTCGACTTCCCTCCGCCGCTCAACCTACGAGCGAGTCTCGAATCCCGAAACTGGTCAAATGATCTACAGTAACCAAGTCGTTTCAGCTGCGGTGGAAGACTCGAAATACGCCTCGAGCACTCAGCGGGAATACGAATTCTCCTAAGTCTATTGAAAACGCTGACATAGGCAGCACTGATCAACCCGGCAAATAGCAAGGCACGTCGGAACCCCATACTTACTTCGTGCGCCACAGTTTGATTGTAGATGTGCTCCTAAATTACAGAGCTAACTACTTGACAGATGACAGATACCTTCGTTCTAGGTCAGGTTCCAAACGGTGAGTAATTTGTTGCGCTTCAGTAGAAGAATTCTTCTTGACAACCACACGGCATTTTCGTGATGTTTCGTTTAACCTCTAGGAACGGTGGAGTTGCGATGCTCCTCTAGAACGAAATCGAGGGACCTCTCCCTCCTAGAAAAACAGCGACAAAGTAAGTGGCAAGACGGTTCTTCTGTCGACAAGGCAGACAATTCATCTCCCACCATAAGAGAAGGTAGATTCACAGACAGGAGTTAAAGATGAACTTCTACAACGCTTGATCGCCTTCTGTCTGTAAGTTACGAATTCCCCAGAAAATGTCTTGAAGACCTCTAAGTTCAAGCATTTGTGAGTTCGTATGCTCACTAGTTCATTTCGTCCGCTTCACAGTAGTTAACGACCGACTCTGAATCTCCCCCGCGTTCTCAACTTTAAACATCATTAAGGCGCCGGTATTGTGGCGTATCACCCGCTTCCTGCAAATCCCCGGCTTCGTTCCGGCGCCTATGCTATATCGAGCAGTCCGCTCGTATTCTGCCGTCATACAACTTAATGGCCTCCTAAGTGAGCTATATCTCAGCTACATTATCGTGCATCGGGCTGACCGTCCGACCGACCAAGACATAGGGTGACCTACTGAATGCAGTCCAGAGCATAAAGCCTTCGCGGAACTCTACGTGGGTCACTTGCCTCATCCACATCCCGTGTCAATTCCGACTTCAACGAACTGACTTCTTGGTTTTGAATGGGCGATATTATGCATTCAAACGTTTCCTAGACTCAGCTCGTACAATCGCCGCTCTGCAGACGGATTTGCCCATCTAATTAACTCCAAGCTCGACCCTGATCCCACGAGCAGTGGCTTCTCGACTACCATCGCCTTCGCGCGCAAAGCTGGATTACTTCCAAGTCCCATGCCTCTTCTTTGTTAGACACGAACATCATAGAACCAGCGCCATACTGTCCACACCCCATTCAACGATTCATTCGTCATCAGATCTCTGGCCTCCTGGCGCACTATCGATTCATTTGACGAACGGGGCACCTACCGTGCGCGATTCTATCAAACACGCGCGGAAGGGGTACCCAATCAGCGTGCAGGTGCCTGCCCACGGAACGTCAACGCGGGGGCGCGTGGTGGGTTGTAGGATCAGAGAACCAGGACAGGAGGAGCCCACGCCCGACAACACGATTGAGCGCGCGAGTTGCGAGGGAGGCGTATCTTTGGAGGCACTCGAGCCGCTGGGTACGGAAGGAGCGTCATGCTCCGTGCAAAGGTGAATGCGAAGCCGTTTCGAGTCAGTGAAGTGACAGTTGGGCGATGTACTCTGGGCTCTAGGGCAAGCAGGCGGACGTGCGTGGATGGTATTAAGCTCCCTCTTGGAGCCTGTGCGTCAGCCTCGGCCGACAGGGTGTATAATAGGCCCGGCTAGGCAGCAGCTTGGAGAGATGCAAAGGATTGACGGGCAGCGTCAGGCCATTGTTCCCAGGAAGGTAAGTCCTCCTCGATTCTTGTCAGATCCCCTTGTTCAGGGCGCCTCTTTCCACACCAGTTGCATTGAGCTCATTATGCTAGTGATTATCAATGACGATTAACAATAACCCCTCGATTAACGCTCACACAATTTGCACGAGGGCACCCGAAGCTCAATTGAACGCTCGCGTTCAATAGCGAATCTATTCTAATCGACCCCTCGCGTCGCCTGATACCGTGGTCGGGACGAACGCGACGGCCCCTTTGTCTGCGCATCCCCAAACCCTGCCTTGCGACTCAATTGCAAGACGCTTAGGGCACGGAATGACATACACACCATACACGATGCACGACTCATTGGGTAAATAGCCCCTCTAAGGGCATCCTGAAACGCTTCTCGTTCGCACGATGGAGGAAGCGCAAGGCTTGGCCACCGTGGCGAGAGAAAGTGGGTACTAGAAGGAGAAATCGGCTTCCAGAATCGCGCACTCATCGTCATATCGTGTTCGTCCGTCCCAGCCCGACTTCCGAATGGCCCGTTCGGACACAGGTGAGCCGGTATTGTGTACCAAAAGACGAGGCGAAGGAGGCGCACAAGAGCTGAGTGGAGGTATTTGATCTTGTCGAGATCGTGCTGATCATTAAAGATTAACGACGTCGACGGGCCTGTAACGGTGGTCTACTAACAATTTTGGGAATGGAAGCGCACCTGTCTCGGCGAACAGAATCTAAGTGTATAGTCCCCGTATCGCCATCCCTTGCTCCTTGGACAAGTCGAAACAAAATTGATAGTGCCCGTTCGGTCACTTTGCATTATCGCAACAACTTGCCCGGGTCGTGTAATGCTCGCCGACAGCAGTGCGACGCACCCTCGTTCCTCGATCTCGCACTCAAGGTTCACATATCTGGATCGATCCCCGAAGTGCGACAAAGTTTGATTCGCACCCGGGCAACATGGGAGGAAAGTGTTGCGTATAGTTTGTGCTACGGCAATTAACCTCATGTCGTGATGCATCATCGTTTAGGCGCTTACGGTAAGCGCCTACATAAGGATAGGGCGAGCGAAGCTCCGACCCTGTTCTCCAAACTCGGGGCTTCGCCTAGTACGCCACAGACAAATTTATGTCCCTCGATTCAATCGCAGCCACGAAACTATTTTTCTAATTCTAGAAGACGCCACTTATGCCGCACTCTCCACTGGGCACAGGTCAGATCTCACTTATCAAACATTCGCTCACGAGATCAGAGGAAACGTGCTCACAAATCAACTTTCACCCATGGATTTACATCCTCGCAACACGTAGACGGGCGACCTCAAATTCGGATCTAGCATTGATCAACCCAACCCTGGGTCGCATCTGCGGGTCAACTCGAGGCTGAACATAGAACTTCTTCCTGTCTGTGAACACGCAGAAGCACCTCCCTCGCGCCCTTGAATAACGAAAACATAGGATCAAACCACTTTCTTTCTATCAACGGCGTTTGTGCGGGACTACATTCATCTCCATCAGACTTGAAGGTTTGATACTTATGATATGTGCTTGTTCTACGAGGGATTCTTGTTCCCCGACGGCAATAAGGGTGTGTTTCCTCTCATCACCCGCATCATGTATGTTGGCCTTTCGGAATTACGCGACCTCGAGGGTTGTTCTCTCAAAGCCCATCGTCCGAAAGCGCTGTCGAGTCGAGATGCGCGACCCGCCTCCCTTCCTTGTTCGCGCCAGCGACCTCTGGATCCGCGCTGTGCCCCATCGAGTCCGCGCCGCCTCCACGCACGTAGAGTTGCGTGCACGCCACACGAGGATTGACCCCGCTAAGGCTAATAATACACCTACAAGACCTCGAACAAATCAATAACTACACACCTAACCTAGGATGCACGGCATGACCCTCGTGGAACGTATGCGTATGGTGGTCATCAACAGAGCAGGCTTCACTGTTCGCCAGAGCTGAAAACGAATCAACCCCGTCCCCGTCGCTTGGGCAACGCCGCCACGATGGTGTGTTGAGGAATTCGTAATTATAGAAATAAAAGAGGGGTGTGCGCATGGCGTTTCAGGCTTCAGCGCCTTCTATGAGGGGTGTGGAGTACACGCGAGAACCCGCAGGTTGAGGTGGTAAGCGAGGTCTTATATTCATGAACCATCGTTTTACAGCGAAGGAACTATCAGGCTCCCAATTAGCAGCGGCAAACACTGGCTGTTTTTTTGCGCAGTGAACAGCCCTTCGCTTTATCGACGTTGAAGTAAGCAAACATAGCGGCTTCCACCCGGTCTATTTCGAACGGTGGATATCGACTGATGAGCAGCGTGAGCTGGGTATGAAGGTGTTCGAAAGGCCGTTCGACATTGAGGACCATTTGCTTATTCCGATGTACACGGGCGTTACTCGCTTGGAAAAAAACTAGTTATGATAAGATTAAGAACTGCGTCAGTTGAGGGTAAAGGGAACAGCGACAAGACATGAATGGGGGCGTGCTGGACAGTAGATGTTCGTGACCCTTTGTACGTCACGGCATTTTCCACGATGGTCAGTGACTTCCATGTCGAGGAATGTATCGGACTCGATATGAAGAAAGAAGGCATTGAAATCTGAGAGAATCGTCGTGTTCGATGAGCTACCTCGTCATACTTACCTGAGAAAGATGAAGCAATTGACTCCGGCAATTGACCATTCAGACGGGCATATGCTGTTCGATATCTGAGGTCCAGAACGTCTTCTGAACAGTTCCTTCCAAACGTCTGGAGGAAGGCACCCATCGTTCGAAGTTCCTCAGGATGCCCGATCGCCGGGGTTGGATATCGATAAACTGAAGGTGTGGATAGAGCTCGAAGAACTCGCCTGTGCCAGTGGGAGAACGAATGCCTGAGACGTCTGTTCTCTGCTGGAACTCGTAAGGAAATATGAGGCCAATAAGGCGCGGAAGAGCGAATAGAATGGAATGCAACGTCGTTTCCTTCAGTTTAAATTAGATGATGAGATGATCGAAAAAAAAATGAGGTCTGGAAGTCACCCACCTCGTGTGATATTTCGAGATATTGTACTTGTTTGAGGTACTGGACCGACCGGAGCTGACATCTGTATTTCCAGTTGAGGAGTCTGAGAGCTTTCAGACGACCGAGCTCTTTGGACAGAAGGCGAAGTGTATCCGGCCATTCTAACGGGTCATAACTCTCGCATTCCTCCCAAATGAGGATGGAGACGTTTCGTCCAGGGAGGCACGCCTCTATCGTCGAACGACATCCACTCAGATAAAGCAGGTTGGGGCAAGACCCTGTGGAGAGGTCAGTGCGAATATTGGCGGGAAGGTGGACTTCCAGACGGCGCAGTTTGTGCTGCGTCTCCAGGAAGCCCACGAGCGCAGAGGTATTGGCACGCCCCTTCCACCGAAGAGTTTCAAGTTGAAAAGGAGGATCCGGAAACCGAAGGAGGCTGGAAGGACTGCGCCCCTCGAACTTGAGCGAAAGTTCCTTGAGGTTGATGAAGTTCTTGTAGATCGTTCCAGGGTACGAAAGGGGACTCGCGTGTGCCTCCGTGTCATGACCGGTGTAGCATTCAGAGTGGAGAATGGTGTAGCTGTGGACGTACTTTCCGAGGTGCGGGAAGTCCTTGAGACATTTGGGATGTGCAGTCAGTTCTGGTCCGCGTTCGCGATTGGAGACGGTGCGATAGAGCAGCCTTCGGGCCTGCTCACAGAGAGCTTTGTTTACTCGCGCGATGGATGCCAGAGTGCCATAGTCCGAGTCTTCAGCCACATAGTGAACTATCATTTCGATGAGTTCAACTGGCAGGCGGTGAGCGAACCCAGCTACCGTGAGCGGTCCTCTACGAGAGGGCTTCGTGTTCGATTGCGTGTTCGAAAGCATGCCCATTGCCCAGCCGCAATAACCCTCGACAATTAGAGCCGAATTTTGAAGTAGCTCGGATAACATATATAGGAGAAGCGGGTGTCGAGACAATTGGAGGATGAAATGGATGCCACACTGGCAGAGGATGGTTGAGTTGTTCTACAGTGATTGCCGAGATGCCGCTCTCTCTTCCCACAACCCTTGGCCCATGGTCATCAACCGAAAAAAAATTCAAAGTAACACTCTCATCGATGTATCGCAATTCATAGCAACAATACGGTACATAATGCAAAAGCGCTGCACAGAAAGCAGGACAAGTGCGAAACGGCAGTTGGGCATGAAGAAGACATCGAGGAGGAACTCCAGGAAGATTACATACGGTTCTACTTTTGCTCGTCCATCAAGTCGACGTTGAAGGATGGTCACTGGTAGATGAAATTATACCTAAGGATTTTGTGGGCTTCATTCAGAGGCCACATGCGAGTCAAGAAATATAGTGGAACATACCTAGACAGCAAATGCGGAATCGCAGAGAGCTGCGGCCCATACCGCGCAGCGTTATCGTACAGCTCGAAGAGCGGGATCGCGAGAAGCTTCATGTTCTTGGGCACGGCGAGGACCTCTTTGGTCAGAAGAAGCAAAATTCAGCTCCGCCGACTAGTTGGGTAGCGGGAGAAAGACAACGCACTCTTCTCGGGCATCTGAACGACGAAGAGCTTCTTGCACTCTTTCGGTTTCGTGATGTGTGCAGGAATGAAGGGGTACTAAAGAAAAACCACGTCAGCTTTATTTCGGCTCACGAGCAGAGATAAAATGCGGGGTGCGAGTTAAAAAGATCCTCGTGTTCAAACGTGAAGGGAAAGATGCGGAGATGAACCGAGGAGGTATATGTGAATACGAAATTGAGGGTATCAAGAAGGAAACGAAATGATATCTATGGTGTTGGTAGCTCCAATTGCAACCGTGCGCAGGTAATTGTGGACGCGACACGATGGAGAGCACCACGTTCGCGCACGCGTTGTACTAGAAGCCTTCAGAGCGAAAGCAGACGCTGGCCCATGAACGTTCGCTCCAAAGAAAAGAGACAATCGAAGAAAAAAGAGACACGAAGGGCCAAAAGATGAAGGAACGCGGTCGTGCACAAAAAAGCAAATTCATTCCCTTCTTGGGCCATGGAGGAACGAAAAGCGCCGACCCTCGCCCTTAAAACACAAAGAGCGGTATAAACGCGCCAACACGAGATCCCGGGCAGCACAGGAATCCGGCAAATCCCATGGAGTCAAAGAGCAAAGCAAAGCGTAAAGGGATCACCAATCCACAGAACCCAGCCGCAAAACCCAGCCGCAAACAAAGCTCGACCAGAACTCACCATAAATGTCTCAAAATTCGGCCTCCACCACTGTGCCAGGCAGTCGCCGATCTCCCACTCGTTGTTGATGCCGTGGGTAATCTGGTCGAACTGGGACCCAGGTGGTGGGGCGAGACGCTCGTCCAGCCGTCGCTTGAGCCCTTCGATCTCGTCTTCGCCTGGCTTGAGGTAGTCGCCTGGGCTGTGGGTGGGAGGGTTAGTCGAGTTCGAGGATCAAATGAAGGTGAAATGAAAGAAAAAGGGAGATAAATGAAAAAGAAGTTCAGGAAAGGCGGTTGTTGGATGGTGCTCTCTGGCGTCATCGAGGCGCCAACTACGACCATAGAAGCTATCTCGAGCAAACCCGCGGCATTAAACAGCGAACCACTATATGCCGTACAAAAAGATAACCAAAACGCCATGAAACCTGTTATCGCCCGCAATTGCAACGGTTAGCCTAGCATTGAATGTGCTCGACATGTTGAAAAATGGCGTCTTTGATGATGGGGAGTACATTCGCCGGCGGTGGAGAAAGAACCTCGGGCATACGTAACGACAGGTGCTTCGACTGGCAGGGAGCGAATGAGCGTGGGCGCCGACGTCGAAGATAACAACGTTCAAGGACGGAAGGAGGGCCGAAAGCTGGACCGATGGCACAGGTTGTTGCACATCGGATCGCTGCATGTTGGATTCGTGTTGGACAGGGAAGTAGCGGAATCTTGGATACGAAGACGAACCCGAAGGATGATCCTGGTAAACCGCCCAGGATGTGACGAACGACGGAAATCCCGAGCAAGATGGGCAGAAGTGTTGTCAGGCGGTGGTAGTGCGAGTATATGCGCAATTTTCAAATAGACTCGGTATTTCCGTCCGTTTGGTGGCTTCCGCCCGATCTACGAACTTCATTTCCTTCATGCTTGAAGCCTGAACGGGGCGAAAAGAAAGCTTGATCCTGGCCCTGTGACCACGCCATTACAGACGGAGGGTTATCCTCATTTTGAGGCAGGACGCTGGATAAGATTGAGGACGTGTGATGTCTTAAAGAAAGTTGCGGCTATGTCGGCAGGCATATGTGCAGCATGGGGAGGAAGGGGCAAGCAGGAAGCTCGAGCCGAACCCAGGATTGAGGCGAACGAAATCGTAGACACAGGAACCAATGACAAAAAAGAGGACGATAGACGGAAGTGACATTGAGAAACGACTACTCACAGCTTGAAGAACGCGTTAGCGATCTGCAACATCAATATATGCGGGTGCCCGTGGTCGTGCACGACCAGGATGCCCTCGACCGTCCGCCGCATGCCAAAGTCCTCATAGTTGTTCTGTAGTCGTTGCAAACGCGCAGACACACTTGGATCTTCCTCTGGTTGCGCTTCCTTCGTGCTAGAGTGGTGTTACATGGCGTAAGAGCTGTGTTTCGTAGAAGAAATGCGGACGAACGACAGAAGCGCCGGAGAGACGGACGTGCTGACCTGAAGGTGAAGTTTGATAGTGGGTACCTACGCAAGTCAGATAAGTCAGATGAAAAGCAAAAAGGATAAAAAGGAACTTACAAGGCGATCGTATTGGACATGATGAGGGTGTTGACTTGGACGACGAGCTCGTCGAGGCGAGCGCTGGGCAGGACGCCAGTCACAATGAACGAGCTGTGACTTATGTCACATTCGGCACTGCCTTGCTCCCACGCCACCGTTTCGGCATCGTCCACTATTCTGTTTGTCAATCGGCCGCGACGCCTGCTTCAGTCAAGCGTCAAACATCTCCCTGTACACTGGCTACGGCGCCTATTTGTTCTCCACTCTCACTGCTCTTAGATGTCTGCAAGCTCCAGATTGACGACTTCAAAAGATCAATGACTCTTATCTTATCTTCCATTTTCAGGGACCTGGGCTCTGATCGGTCAGGGACGGCCCGTTGTTCAGCTCTTCACCCTCGACGACACCAAGACAGGCATTACTGTGCGCTGGCGCCTCCCGTTCCTCCTCTAAACGGATTGCGACACCTCGGGCCATAGCCAATTCTTCCTATTTCACCTCAAACACGGCTCCGAGCCCTGGGGCGGAAGCAAAACCCGCTATCCGTCCTTATCTCTGCGAAAAAGAAACGCCGTGTTTTCGCGCAGACCCCACCCTAGCCGCTCAATTCAGCCCATCTAAGGCCCGACTATTGCTGCCATGACAGTAAACGATGACGGGGGAGCCCCAGGCCCTTCGACTGCTCCTTTGACTGCGACGGACGCCTACCGCGACATATCACAACCACACGGCGGGTCTCCGACACCCACTCCTACTCCTCGCGCACCATTCCGCCCTAGTACCCAATCACAGCGCCACCAGCTATCTCCTATCAGCGGCCAAGCATCTGCCTCGCCACCTGTACCGGGAACTTCGCTCGCCCTACAGCACCTTCTTGGGTATATGCAGCGTCGTTTGTCAGATTTCGTTGGGTCCGACGCCTCCATCTCCAGTAGCAATGCCATCACGCGGCCGTTTGCCTTCGCTCGCGACCTCCGGGGTCGGTACGATGCTAGTCGAGACGGCGAAGTGATCGAGGAGGGTGAAGAACAGGGAGGAGAAATGCAGGGAGGAGTTGGTGTCAGCGTGCCCTCGCAACCTCGACATCGCCAGGGCCAGCAGGCGCATAATCGGAGCCAGAGCCATAGTTTCTATCAGCATCTCGACGAGAGTCCGTCGTTGCATCGCGCTGGGTGAGTGTTCAGTTTTTCGTGTCTCTTTTCGCTTTGCTTCTACCTTCTCTTCATTTTCTTGCAAATTTTCTCATGTCTTCGCCTTCCGTTCCGCATTGTTGTTTTTGTTCCTGTCCTCGTCAGCCTCTTCCTTCTCTCTCTCTCCTTCCCTTCTAGCTCGTCTTCCGTGCCTCTTCCCAAACCCCACTCTCATCGTCTCCGATCCATGAATCCTGAGGAAGTCGGCAGAGCTGACTTTTTCCATTTTCCATCTTTTTATGTTACTCCACTCTGATATTCCATCCTCCACCTTCGGGCTTCCCGCCATTTCCTCGTACCCGTTCACATGCCTTCGGCCGCCAGTGATGTATCAGGTGCTATGGGCGCGACGTCGCTTCGTTTTATGCGTGGTTGACTTGCGACAGTCGACGACTCGTGTACGTCGCAGCGTACGTTATATGCGGGGAATGTGACCTTTGGCTTTTGACTGATGAGTCGTGTGCCGGGTCATGATGTTGGGTTTTTTCAAGTTATTTTTGGGTGTGCGGCTCTTCGAAGTTCGTAGCTTGGGCCTTCGTTCGTTTTTGGATCCTGGATTTCGCTGCTCTTTCTATTTTGTCTCTCCATTTTTCTTGTTGGATTTTTGGGAAAGGCTGTCGATGGCGTGCTTGCCCAACTTCATTTTCCACCGTCAAACCTTTGCCCATTCGTCCATTCGAGCCCCGGACGCACGAACGAGATCCTGGCCCAAAAACTGTCTATCACTGGATCTTGGAGCTAACGCGGCACAGTCGTCAGGACTCAGATCCAACAAGCCCGAAGTCTGTTCAGACTTCGGTTCAGACTTTCCTGCGTACGCCATCTGACCCCATCCATGGGGAGGCTTTATGAACAATTGCTCAGGAAAGACAGGCGCCTGACCCTGCCCTTTACGTCTTTTTACAACTTCCTTGTCTCTTCGTTCTGTTGTGACACTTTTCCCTTACACCTCGGGCGGCCGAGCACCGACGGTGCTGTGTTTTGGCCTTTTTTGGTGTTTTCTTAAAGCTCCCGAGCTCAGGTGCTCGCCTAGTGCACTCCGGCGTTTAGGCTTTTCTTCCATTAAATGAAGGGTTCCATGGGATGTACTCGGGCACCTCGTACCCAGAACCTGTCTACGAGATCATACAGAAGGATGGGCTGACACATCTCCTGTCGAATTTGTGTTCTGAAGAGATCTCGAGGTCCTTCGGTGTGTATCTCGCGCCCCTTATTTATTGACCTTTGGTTCGAGGCGAGATTCGCCTTTCATCGGAGAACTGTGGACCTGGGCGGTCGGCGGGTCGGGCGATGGTGCACCTACCTAAAGTCCTGTTTCGAGCTTCTGGGTGTTGGATCTCAGGTTTGAGGCCAGAGTACCGAGAGCGGAGCAGTCACTACTAGTCGCGAACGTGACTAGGATAGACGCCAGGAATCAGGAATCGTACATAATAGAATCCGTCCTCAATGGACTGGGATTCTACTCTTGATTCTGATGATGAAGCGAGATCCCGTCATCCCACAGACCAGGACCCTACCCACGTTCGCACCCTGTCGTTCCTTTGCTTCTCGATCCCTACCGCCCATGGCTCGTGCCCACCCCACGTCCACGGGCTCTGGCTAAGGAGTCATCGCTGCTACATACTTATTATTTATGGTGCCTTCACAATTCTATTTTATTCCTTCGATTCGCCCCTTTTCGTTTCCCTGTCATTATCCTTCTCCTTGTCTACGTTTACATCGCATTGCGCCTTTCTTTTATCTTTGACTACTGCTGATAACCATTTGTTAACCATCGTTCGCTGCTCTTGCGCCATCCTTGCCCTATCTTTTCTTATTCTTTGCCATTCCTCATTCCTCGGGTCTGTCGCCCGTTCGTCCGTTGTCCCATTCGCTTGCTTCCCTATCCGCATTCATACATCCACTTGCCCTTTCCCTCCTGTACTAATCACGATCACGACAGCCTCCTCCAGCCACGCTCGTACAGCAGCGCGATCGCATATAACGCCAATGCCGCTCTGATGCCTCCGACGTTTGCCCCTGCTGCCTTTCCGTTGTACTCGCCGTCGCCGTCGCCTGGACCTACACCTGTCACTTCGCCTGCGTCGCTCCTGCCTACTGCGGTAGCGCAACGGTCGCATCTGTCGCACTCGGCGTCGCCCTCGCCCGCGTCGGCGCTCTTCTCGCCTTCGAGTGGTGCTAGCGTCGGTCGGATCAGCTTGCAGACACATACGCATACGCACCCACACGACGGCACCCCACACGCAGGTCTACGCCCACACACGCCCGACTCGATACGCGCGGCGACAGTCGAGTTGTCGAATATGAACATGGAGGTGGGCATTGCTGAGCCGGTGCCAGCGCCTACGCCGCCACCGACAGCTGTGCAGACACAAACGAACGATGACCCTCAGCCACCACCTCAACAACAGGATGATCAAGGCGGATTCATCTTCCCCAACACTCTCACACTCCCAACACCTTCCATCGAATCCAGCATCAACCTCAACCTCAAAAATATCGCGACAGAGCGAACATCAGCGCTCGGGACGGAGTCAGGCCCTCTGACGTCCGAGTCGGCGCTCTCCCTACCTTTACCAGTCAACCTCGAGCTCGAGTCAGATACTGAAGGTGAAAGGCTGGAGTCGTCTGTTGGGACACTCGCAACGTTAGCGTCGGGATCTACTTCGTCTAGGAGAAGTGGGAGTGGGTCATCTGAGAGGGAGAGGGAGAGAGTAACCAGAGAGGCGAGGGAGAAGAGGAACGTGGAAGACCGGAGGAGCAGGTCGAAGCCCTCGGGGCTGTCTTTGCTGAGGCCTAGTACGAGCATGCCTATTGGTGTGGGTGAGCAAGCCGGTCAGAGTGGGTTAAGATCGGGCTCGAGTTCATCGAGAGGGTCGAGCATCGAGTCGATGAGGGTGTTGGTAGGCTCGGCGGTACCGCAGTCGAGTGCCCATGGACATGGAGCGGAGACGACACCTACTGCAACGCCCCTTGGAACACCACGCGCTCCGCCGACGTCGCTACCAGCAACGGCGCAAGTGCAACAGCAGCAAGGAGCGAACCATGTCCGCTGGCGCAGCCCACCGTCGCTCGCACGTCCTCTAGGACCGTCAAGAGAAGGCTCCCAAATACGCGCACAGGCGCGGTACGAGGAGATGGAGGCACATAGCAACGAGCGTACGCCATTGCTCGTGCAGCCGAGTCCAAGCAGTAGTGGGTCGGGATCGGAGAGTGAGAGTGAGAGCGAGAGCGAAGCACCGCCTGTGGACGTCTACGCTGGGGTTAGTGCGCGAATGCCTAAGTACGGAAGCACTAACACTGGACAAGCGAATGGGTACGGCGACGAGGAGGCCGGCCGCTCGTTCGGATGGGCACAAGGTTGGGGTGTAGGTCCACGGGCGTTCTTCGAGAATTGGACGCGGAGAGTAGGTGGTGCTGGTACTGGGAACGGGAACAGGAATGGCCATGGGGTGGGTCTGGCAGAGGAGCTAGGCCCAAGCAAACCACGGTGGAGCGTCGGGCTGACGAAGGACGCGGTGAAGGCGCGCGTGAAGCACGAGGTCGCGCTCGCCCCAGAGCACGCGAAGACCGCCCTCAAGGCCATCCCGGCAGTCCTTCTCGGGTGTTTGCTCAATATTTTGGATGGTGTTTCGTGTGAGTACCCTTTCGGCTTCAGATTGTTCGATTTTCTCCGTTGAGGGGTGGGATTGGCAGAGTGCTCCTCGGAGGATGTGTGCAGGGGTATGGTCCGCCCGCGCCCTCGATCTCTGGGGCTGGGCTCGTTGGGGTGTCGGGGTCGTCGGCCGACCCCAGCAGGCCGGGTAAGAGTCTGTGTGGCACCATCGGCTAGCTATTCTGGGGCATGCTCCTTCCTTTTTCGGCCTTCCCCACACCTCATGGGCTGAATCTCGGTGCTTGGCTTCCAACCCCAACTTCTTTTCCCCAGAAACAAGAGCCTATTCGACTTTTTCTTTCATTTGTGCTCCACTCATGATTCTGATCCATGCGCTGACGTTCTTTTCGCGCCTTTACATCCACCCCAACTCCGCGAAATCTCCCTCCGTGGCATTCTCTTCCACAATTCCACTGCCGATTTATCGCGAATCCGATGGTCAACTGATATGCCCGCCTGACTTGCCGTCGAATCATGGGATACCTCTCGTAATGCTCTCCTTTCGTAACCTTAGACGGCATGATCATCTTCCCCGCCACCGGCGTCTTCGCCGACCTCGGCCCGATGGGCGTGTCCATGTTCTTCGTCAGTGCCATCGTTGCCCAGCTCGTCTACACCTTCGGTGGTTCGGGTTTCGCAGGCGCGAACGGGAGCATGATGATTGAGGTTGTGGTGAGTGCTCATTTCAATTTTTACTTTTCTTCGGATGTTCGGGACGCTGACATAGTGGTTCTACTCTCGGTCGTGTGATCCCTGATAGCCTTTCTTCCATATTTTGGCAAACAGCATTGCAAACCAGATTGGAGAGGACGACCCCCTTGCGATCATTGCGACGACACTGACTGCGTATGCCTTCAGTTCTATCCTGACAGGTTAGTCTTTCATTCCCTCTCCCTTCTCTCTCGGTCTGTCGGACGAGATTCTTCATTTTCTCTGCAACTTGACGTGATTCTACCGGCGGCCGTCGGTCGTAGCAAAGCCTCTTCTCGAACTACAAGCCAGAACATCTTCCTCCCTAGACTCCGATTTTCAGGGGACCCCACTTCACCTTCCACTTCCATATTTATCGATATTCATCAACGCCTAACTGACACATGCACCCCTTCTTTTCCGTCTATTTCTTCTAGGCCTGGCATTCTTCCTTCTCGGTGCGCTAAAGCTCGGCGTCGTGGTGGGCTTCTTCCCGCGACATATCCTGGTCGGGTGAGTGTCTTTCTCTCCCTCGAAATCCTGCGTCGTTCGTAGCGGGTATAGAGCGCTTTCGTGGTGTGTTCTAGAGTCAACGCCTTGCCTAGCTCCTTACCAGTTGCACAGTCTTTTCTCGTGTCCAAGTCATCTGTTCACTCGAACCCTCCACTGTTCACTTCATCGTTGACTTCGTACTATTATTATCCTACTTCCCTTCTATTGGCCACATCTATTTTCCACTTGATTTCTCCGTCCGCTCGCTTGATAGATTATCACCGCTCGTATGACTTCATACACTACTTCCCTACCTTCTACCCCTGCTTCCTGTTCGCCGTCCTTTCTATGATACACGTCATTCTCAACAGTCAGACAATCAACTGACAGTCGTTCTCGTTTTACAGGTGCATCGGCGGTGTAGGCGCGTTCCTCATCGAGACGGGGTATGTCACCTTCCTTCTTACTTCCCTTTGATTCTCCGTTTGTCTCCTTCCATTTCTTTCGGTGTTTCCTCTCCTATCCCCGCTTCGAATCCTACTCGAGATCATGCGAGCTCAGGCGAGAGCATTCGGAATCGGATTGCGGCTCTGCATGGATTCCCATGGGATTCATGGGCGAGGTTGTGTGGGACTGGCGCTACACACCTTCGGCATTGAGGGCTTGAGGGTCGGCGGCTTCTTCAGTGACCTTTCGCCTCTGGTCTCATGGTCGCATCTCTTTGCAGGAGTTCCCAATCCGATATCGTGTACCTAGCACTGTCTCTGCCCCTACCTATGGCCAGACATTCTCTCATTCTCTCAACTTTCTTCGCATATGTTCGTCAATTCGAGTCAATTTCTTTTTTCTTTCGTCAAACCTCAAACCCCACCCGATCCGTAGAACTGACTCATTTCTCATTTGTAGCCTTACAGTGAGCATGCGCATATCGGACGACGACTTTACAATATCGCTTGAGACGCTGCGCATGATGTTCCTCGACGGACACGTCCTCCTCCTGTGGTCTATCCCGCTCGCGCTCGCGATCCTCTTGAGGGTGATAACGAGTCGGGTGAGACACCAGTTGGTGTTTCCTTTGTGTACGTCGTGTTATTTCGTGTCTTTGTCACATTTTCAAACGAAAGAGGCTGTTATTCATGTTTCTTGAAACAGATTTCATCGTCATTCCGATCGTGTTCTACATTGTGGTTGCGGCTGCAAGGCTCGACATGGGCATGCTCAGGCGCGAAGGGTGGGTGTTTGATATGGGCGCTTCGGCGAAGGAGCCGTGGTATAAGTTCTATAGCTACTTTGGTGCGCAATCGTGCCTCCTATCGCGCCTTCATATTGAGAGACCAACGTCAATTGTCGAACAGATTTCGGTAAAGTGCGATGGGAGCCTCTCTGGGCGACATTGCCGACGCAATTCGCGCTGCTGTTCTTCAACATCCTACATCCTCCTCTGAACGTTCCCGCCCTTGGTAAGCTGCCCCACATTTAAATTTCTTTCTCTCCAATTTTTACCAACTTACACCCCCACCTGTAGCCGTATCCCTGAACGACGACGTCGACACGAACAAAGAGCTTGTCGCACATGGGTACTCCAACCTCTTGTCGGGTGTGATAGGCTCGGTGCCCAACTATCTCGTCTATGTCAACACTCTCCTGTTCTACCGCGTGGGCGGGGACAACCGGATCGCTGGATTCTTGCTAGCGGTGGCGACGGCGGTGTTGTTGGTTATTGGGCCGGCGCCGATTGCTTTTATCCGTACGTGCCTTTACTGTTGGTTTTTTGTTACATGCGGAAGGCTGATAAAGGTGGAAAACAGCGGTTATGGTGGTTGGAGCGTTGATCTTCGTGCTGGGGATCGATTTGGTCAAGGAAGCGTTGTGGGATTGCAGGCATCGGGTTACTTGGTATGTTTTCCTCGTGTTCTGCTTTAAAGGTGCGTCAGAGCTGACGAAAAATTGAAACACAGGTCGGAGTATGTCACGATTATCAGCATCATGGTCTGCATGACTGTGTGGGACTTCGTCATTGGGGTGTTGTTTGGGATTATCGTCAGCTGTACGTCCCTATTTTTCCGAGCAAAAGAGAAGTTCTGAATAATGATTTTTGCCCGATAGGTTTCTTCTTTGTGGTGCAGAACTCGCAGCTGCGGAGTATACGTGCCATGTATACTGGAGACCTTGCAATGTCGGCTGTACGGAGACCAAGTTTGCAGCGTGCGTACATCAGAGAAGTTTCCAAGCAGACGACTATCCTTCGTTTGCAAGGTGTGTATCGTGAATCTTTGAAGAAAACGTTCTCTAAACTATGTCCAGGATTCCTGTTCTTCGGCACCATCACCTCCGTCGAGGAAACGATTCGCAACCTCATCGAAGGGCCCTATTGGCAACAACGCCCCGTCCAGTTTCTCGTCCTCGACCTCTCGCTCGTCGCAGGCGTCGACATGTCCGCCGCCGAGGCCTTCGTGCGGATCCAGCGCCTCCTCGCTGCGCGCTGCGTCACGCTGGTCTTCTGCGGCTTCGAGATCGACTCGCCAGTGGGGAAGGCGCTTGCCAGTGTTGATGTTCTGGGTGCGAGTGGGGTAGAGTTGTTCGCGAACTTCAATGATGCGATGGAGTGGACGGAGAACGCGTATCTAAGGGCGTGGTTTAGGTCACAGAAGGTGGAGGGTGCTGCAATGACTTTTGGTGCGCACAACTACGGTGATATCAACACAGAAATTATTGAACTTTGTTCGACAGTCATTCCTGGCAGACAAGATGCAGACATCGAGTATAGTCATCTTGTCGGCTCATTTGTACGTTCGCCTCGCCGTTCACACCTGCGCGACGCGGGCGATCGCACAATCGCAACCGAGATCCACACCACCCCTCCGCCGCACCTCAACCTCAACGCCGAGCCCCTCAGAACGCTCCTTAAAGCTTTCTCTTCCTACGGCCCCATCGACCCCGTCTTCTTCCAGCCTCTCACCACTTACCTCCAACGCACCACCGCCGTAGCGGGTACCATTCTCTGGAGGCAAGACGACCCCTCGGACGGGCTGTACATCATCGAGCAGGGCGTCCTGCGGGCATCGTACGTATTCGCGAACCCTGCGCAGAAGTTTGAGGAGTCGATGGTCGCAGGCACGCTCGCGGGTGAGCTATCCGCACTTGCGGACGCGCCGAGGAACGCGACCGTTGTGGTGGAGCACCCGGCGGTGCTGTGGAAGTTGGGAAATGAGGAGATTCGGAGGCTGCAGGCCGAGGAGCCGGAGTTGGCGAGGGTGTTCATTCAGCTTGTTCTCAAAGGTTCGTCGGATATTCCGTACAGAACGCTGGTGGAGACTGATATTTTCCGGTAGCTGCAAAACTGGATTATGATATCCTGCTTGCTGCGATTGCTTCGCGGCAATAAACAAAAAAAAAGGTCGTCCACCAAAGACGACTCTGGTGGCCGACCGTTCCACACCTCCGAGGATACGCCGACGACGGTCCCGTTTCTTCATCGCTTTCCATTCATCTTGCTTTGCTTATCTTTATCTACGTCTTCTCCGGGTTTTCTTCATTTTCTCTCTCATTTTCTACTCCATTCATCTAACCATCTTCTATATGATTTCTTGCATCTCGGCACCTCACACAAACCGCACAACCGTACACCACGAATCAGGCTCTTAGCACCCCACATTGGCACACCCTCATGTTTTTGTTCTTATCCGGTTTTTACTCGTCCCTCTCATCACGATCTACGTATCTGTACGACACGCAAACGGAAAGCAGAAGGAAAATATCCACTTGGCATAGCATGCATGGCACTTAGTACTCATTTCCGAATCTCACTGGACTGGTTCATGTTGTCTCATGTATCCGCATCTTGCATACGTTTCGAAATCTCATGTGTTTCTCTTCGTGCAATGTAAACAACACCCTTCTCAACCCTAATGCCGAATGCCATGAACCTGAGCACTCTTAGTCCGAACACGCCTCTTCGGAAAAACCACATCACTCTCGTAAAGTAAATCAAAATTTGCGTCATAGCCCACAGCATTCGGGACGAAGATGAGGACTTAACGCGAACGAAGGCCACCCGGAAGACGCGAGGCGGTGGGTGTGGCGCATGCCCGAGTCGGTCGTGTTTTCTTCCGCTGGTTTACACCGAGGTTTCTCCGCCCGAGGCGTCTCGAAGGTTGACGCTGGGTTCCGAAGGTTGACTAGCGGACTGGCGGAGTGTTGATCCTGACTGGCTCGTCTGTTCAGCTTAAAGCCGCTCGTTGCGTCGAATCGAGCACTTACGTTGAACTCCGAGCGTTCGTTCGTTGATATCGGACGTTCATTTGGCCTTGGGCCGCCTCGGGAAGGAGGTGGTGTCATTTCCGAAGAGGGGTCCGAGAACACCGGACGCTCCGTCTGTTCGTGCGTTCGCGGGTTCAAGATGAGGGTAAGTACGTCGATATCGATGCTCCTTCATACCCGGTCTGTCCTTAGACGAAGAGAGCGCGCAATCACCGCCACTGAATAGAATACGCCTGAACACAATTGAATACACGAGTACTTCGACTTCCGCATACACTGATACTGATAGATCAACGGGGAGCGTGCAGGTCGGAGGAGGGTGCACGCATATGCATACGACTATAGTGCAGGATCACCCGCGAAGGGCGTGCCGCACGCACCCTCGGGATGTGAGATATAATTGAACGGACCTCTCGATCGAGGAGTTGTGGATTGTATTCCGAGAGCTGTGCGAGAAGATCTCGAGGTGTGTTTAAAGTGCGGGCGGTTGATGCACTCTATTATTCAGCGCGCTTGTGTTATTTTTGGAGAACAGCGCTCGTACTGTAAGTCTGTAACGAAGTCGAAGAAGCCCCCTTTCCGTAGATCCAAGGAGGCGATTAGGAATATAGCCTTTTTCAGAGCTAGGATCGATGAGGTGGGTTCGACGCTCTTGGAAGGCGTATCTGATAAAGAGCGGCTACTCGAGCACAAACCTCAGGGTTTCCTGAGATGGCCTAGGCGCCGACGCGCTCCAACCTGGAGGTGGTAGGAGGATAACCGTCGGCGCCGAGCCTCGCTCTCGAGATCGCTACCAGGAATTCATCGAATTCGAATTCGTCCAACTGCTGTTCTGAAAGTGGTGATAGATGAATGCGCGAAGGCCTGGGCTGTATGGCGCCTGCTTGGATGCGTGAAGTATCTCGCGATGGACGTCATGATTAGAGAGAAGGAGCGTCGAAGAGGGATCTGTCAGATTAGAAGGATCTGCAGAGGATTCTACGTCTCAGGCTGAGGCAAACAAGCCTCATGTTTCAATTTCGGAAATAAAGAGCGCATGGCGTCGCTGGCAGAAACCGTCCCGAAGAGGCGCGGGGACCATACGTAGACCATCACGCTATCACAGCAAAAGAGGCGCTGGTAGCCTTTATGAATTTAGGGCGCCTCTCCTCGCGTGTCATGTCCACGAAGCACGATCGGAAATCCCTGGAGGCGCTGTCGATGCTTGCCAATTATCCCCAGAAGCGTCGACGCCCATCGTGCCTCGGCACTAATCTCGCTATTACTGTCCATCTTACCTCCCTATAGCACGAGATGATTAACCAAGATGGACAGTTTGCTGTGCGCGTCGGGCGCGGCCACGCGCTCGAAGTGCATAGTACACCTCGAAGTAGAACAAGAACAATACTTCCAGATCGACGTCGACGTCGGGGGTGGCAGTTCGCACATGACAGTGACAGGTCAGTGTTTGGCACCTACGACATTGATAGTATCAGCCTTGGGGCCCCTTGTCTGCACACCACGACCACCTCTGGCACCTCACCGCGTTACGTAGGTCAAGGGGTGCGTTTACGTTGACTGCGAGACGAACTGCAGGGCAGTTCGCTTGCATCTTCCGAGTCCGTCAATCCATCGGAAGCAAGTCGAATCGAACTGGTTCCCGGGGCTTCCGAACACTGAACTTTGAAGTGACACTGCTGGGAAGCATCGGACGAAAGCAGACCGGGTGTGTACATGCCTCGGATTCGCAGCGCCCAGTGGGTGAGAGTGAGCTGCCGCTCTCGGCACCGTGTTTGTCCGATGCTTGTCTTTATTGGAGACGCTGACCAATGGCGCGTGCAGCTGACAAACGCGGCAGGCCGCTCGCAGGCGCTCACCCACCGACGCCGTCTCGTCCATTTCCGCCTCAGTTCCGTTGGCTTAGGCGCCTACACATACCGGCTTTGTACGGTTAACTAGAAGCCGGTATGAGGTTATGTTCATCATTCCTGTCCGTCAACATACGTAGAGATCTCCATAGGAAAGTCACTTAGTACTGATTGAGGAGATCGGACGAATGGGCTTGTGGCTGAACCGGAGGTTCCTTTTTCTCAAACTTTATGTTCAAAGGCTTGAGAAAGGCTATATTTCCTTGCATGAGTGTAAGTCTGTCACCGAGGATGATGACTGCATACCGCCCGCCGATGGCAGCACCGAGCTTCGAAGCCAATTTATTCACGTTATACTCCCTCTCAACTGTCGTATGGAGTGTTAAGGAAGATCCGTATTCCGCGAAGTATAATGGAGACAGCTCGGTATGCGACTCCATCGTGGTTTTTCGACTCGACCAACGCAAGAGCCAAGCAAGGAATCGTCGGCGGGCGTGAGGAAGCACCGACTGCGCATGCGCACCTCCAGAAACTCGCAGATTATAATTATGCGGGGCTGCTTAGCTCGAAATGAATGCGAAAGTCAAAGCGCGACTGCGTCCGAGTCGCCGTCGTCGTGATCCTTCATTCCATGCCCTGGATGATGGATCGATCACGAACCGGCGAGTTAAAGTCTGTTCAAGTAAAGGGGGATGACGGTCGATCGCGGTGTGGGTCCAACTCAAGGCCACGCGTACGCGTGAGGCGCATGCGCAGCGTGTTGATCTATTTAGCCTTTTTAGTTTTGATTCCGGAGGTACCTACATTTTGTTGGTACTATAGTACATACTCTAAGTAAGCGCGACGCGACGCGTGTCGTGTCGTACATGTCCATATCATGTCGCGGGCACTGCGCCGCCATCGTGCCTCGGCCTCGAATGTCGAATCGGAAAGGGAGTTCTGCCTAATCGGGTGCCTCTTGTATTCGCACCGCCTCGAGTCTTCGCTCCATCGTCGAGCTGTTCTAACCAGTGATTGGCACTTGACTGCGGGTTATACCACCGGGGGATAAATGAAGTGTCTCGACTGTACGGAAGAAACTGAATCAAGGACGTGATCAACCTCCTTCAATCAATTCAATAGCTGGAAGTTGGAGCGGCCAGTCCGAAAAGCTACGAACTCAATAGAGTTCGAATTCAGTACTTACATACATACCTGATGCTGCATACAATAGGAAGAGCACGACTTACCCGGGTCCACGGCGCACGGCGCGCGGGCGTCAAGCCGCCAAGTGGGGTTGACAGAGAGCCGGACGGCGTGCGCCACATTGTCATGGTGATTTCGCCGGAGTTATGACTTTCTGGGAAGCTGGCAGGACCGGTGATCAGAGGGGCATGGATACTGAAACACTGCAGAAAGGACGTCAGGACTCATATGGATGGAGTACTGGATGATCATAGTTAGAGGCATACGAGAAGGAGGACCAGGGTGACCAGCTGAGTTGGGCAACAAATGGATATCGCGAACTGGCCAGGGAGAATAGGAGAGTAAGTCCACCTGCGGGGCTTTGTCTCTCAAGCGCCTGTGAGTGTGAGACGCACAGATGGAGCACAAGAGAGCATTTATCATGACGTATGTACGTATCAACGACCGGCCCACTGGCCTAGCCGCATACGCCAATGCAGCACGGACGTCATTAACCGCGAAAGCCTGCAGGAGGAAGTCTAACTGACAGTCGACGTTCCTTCATTCCCAACCGAGTCGAGGAAAGTGCGAAGGCGAGGTACGAAAGACGCCGAGAGGTAGAGGTCGAGGTCGGACAGGTCTGAGGTAAGAACGTCAAACGGGCACCGACGGGGACGAAGTAGGGCATAGTAAAGGCGTTGAGCCCTCGCACTAGTAGCCACTGGATTAATTTCCGTACAGGGTTAGCAGAAAATGAGAGCACGTACATACATACGCACCTTATCCAAAAACATTTCCTTCAACTCCAACCTCGAGCTCTCGTAGGACGATGGGAGGAGTCAGGACGGAGAAGTGTCTCGTCTCCGGGCTCGCCGTCGATTGGTTGGAATGCATTTATTCATTTATTGGGTGTATAGTTGACCCGCGGCCGTCGCTTTTCCGCGGTGTACATAAAGGAGTCGTGGATCTTTCAGGTGTTTCTCTCGCTCGCCGGAGAGGCCAGGAAAATCGACAGAGTCGGGACACCGGGTGGGAGGAAGTGGCGCACGTTGACTCGGAGTCGCGAGTGGTGAGTGTCACGGTGGTAAGCAGGCGGTAAACAGGTTATCGACTCGAGGTCCGAGGAGGGAAGTAGTTACTAGTAGTCGTGCCGTCGTGTTGTCTCTATGTAGTCGTCCGGGAGGCGAGAAAAAAGGAAGGATGACGGTGGACGGGGCAGAGGTAGGGCGTTCTTGTGAGGAGCGAGTATAATTATCCAAGCCTTCGAAAAGGATGGCGAGAGTGGTGGTAGTAGGCGAGAGTGGTGGTAAGCAAGAGTGCTACGAGGATCCGATATCCAGCAGGTGCAGGTGCGGGTGAGAACGGCGGTCGCGGTCGTGGTGGCACCGCAGCCGCCAAAGTCCAGGCGCAGTCTGGGGGCCCGGGGTCGCGTCTGATCAATAATGTGATGCGTATCCTGGTCCTAGGCGTCCGTCACGATTATATATTCCGGAACCCTCACTGCCGCTTCGCCCATGTCAGAAAAGAGGGATTCTCGCGCCGTTGTTTACGTCGAAGCTTGAATTTAATTATTTAATTGTTGTCGTACGCGTTGGTGGTGGTGGGTGGCGGAGGAAGTGACGGCCGTTGTGCTGCTCAGCACTCAGTACTCAGTGCCCGCCGCCGTGGATCCATGAGTCGGTAGACCCGGTTGGGACCTGGATTTGGCCTATCATTGCGCCGTCGAACCGTCGAACCGTCGAGCCGTGGTAGTGGTGGACCGTGGTAGACTCGTGTTTATTTATTTAATTATTTGTCTAACTTCTAGCACCCTCGCGCATTGCAGTCCGTGGCGTCTAGCGCCTATGGCCGCTGACGGGTAGCGGGCAATTTACCAGTTATGTAGAGTACAATTAGGATCCTAGGAAGGAAAGAAAGAAGGAAGGAAGGAGTTGGTGGGAAACTTGGTGCGGACTGAGGCCAAGGGACCGACCTTGAAGCTTGAAGGTCAGCATAAATCTAGGAATTAATTGTGAGTGAGTTGATATGTGTGCGCATGCTCAGTTGAGTCGGTTCGCCTTGGGAGTGCACTTAGCCGTCGAGAACACGACGGACGGTGGACGAGAAAGGTTCAAGCAGGGTTACTTAGAGTTCGAACTTAGACAAACATGCTGACAAGATTCGGCGGTGGCCTGAATCAGATGATTGGCGAGCTCCTCGAGGCTTAAGGCCCAAGGGTGGGTCCATCATAGGCGCCGCGCGCCGCAAGTCGTGAGAGAACGTAAATACCGTTCGAGAGTAATTATATAGGAGAAAGGGATTGAGGTGGGAGGGTGGTGAACGGTGCCGAGTTACATTATTATTATTGTACGGTCCTCTAGAATCCGAATGGTCAGGTGGGAAATACAAGGCGCATCGGAATATATTTTCTGCCAACGTCCAAGTCGAACGTTGAACGTTGAAGTGTGACAGCAGAGGTCGTTCACCGCCGGCAGTGCGTGCGTGTGGGTTGAACGCAAAGTGTCAGGTCAGTACTCAAAGTCGATCTCTGGAGATTGTGCGCATTTACTTTGGACCAAACATCCTCACTATTGCAGCCGCGCACAGTGGATCGACAAGGTCCAGCCACCCCTTATCAGAATTCTCGCGCGTAGCGCTTAGACTTGCTTCCTACGTATGCTTCCGCCCTGGGCAGGAAATGGGAGTCGGGGTGTGGGAGTCTGGCGCCAGGGAGGCTAGGGCGTGTTGTGTGGGCGCATGAGGCGAGCAAGTGCGCAGGGGCGCAGTGATGGTAGGGCATGTTGACTTGGGAGTCTGGGAACATTGAACAAGGCGGCATGTCAGCATCGCGCCGCGCCACGCCGCGGCTGTGGGTTGCGATAGCGTCTGCAGACCAAGTGCGCGACGACCAGAAGGCCTTCCGCTGTTGCTGGAGACGAGCTGGAGACCGCGGTCTGAGAATCTGGGATGTCCAGAGCTTTGAGTGAGCGTTTAGGACATGAATGTGTGCTTACAGCATGGGTGGGTGCAATTGCAGCAAGAGGGATGCCTATTTGCTCGGAGCCGATGGGCGGACGTGTGGGTGTTTGCGCGGCATGAGGCGGGTCGGGTCATGGGGTCCCTCGGTCCGTGATGCCGGCACGAGGCGCAAACCGGGTCGGTTCGCCCACGAGCATGGCAGTGCACCAACCGAGCCACGGGTCGGGCCGAGAGAGACCGAGCGTGGGCAGGGAGTGTGGGTTGAGTCGTTGATGGGGTGGTAAATACGAGCTTCGAGTGCGACGACTTGCGAGTTTGCCGCACCCCTCTCTCCCTCCCTCCATCCCATCATCATCATGATCGCCCATTCCCAGCCTATCGCCCTCCCCTCCGCCTCATCGTCCATGCTCACCCTCGATGGTACGCCCCAGGACTACGCCATGCTCGACGCCGGGTCCTATACTGGCTCGTCGTCGGGCACGTTCAACCCCGCGTCGTACACCCGCCACTTCCTGGGGTCGCCCATCTCCTGGCGTGCCGGCTCTTTTGGGCTCGCAGGCAGGTTCCCCGCGGGCTCGCCCACAGCCCAGCTCCTCAACAGCATAGAGTGCGTGGCGTTTTCTGATAAAAGGACCCATGTCTCACTTGTTACCACCCCCAGCTTGAACGAGTATCGCAGTGGCAAGACGCCTTCGTCGATCGAAAGCGATTCCATCATGAATGCCCTCAACGTCTTTGACAGGGAAGGAGAGTTTGTACGTACCCCAACCCCTGGCCGCCGCCGCTCTACACTCCCCAACTGATCATCGCTTGACAGTGCCGCAACTACACCTGCTGTGGCCTCCTCCTCCACGACCTCCATGCACTCCTAGAGCACTTTGAGGAGGTCCACATCGTCGTCCTAGATCCCTCTTCTTCTCAGCCTCAAGCACATATACAAATCCCCTTTAATCCTACTGTACACGACCTCGACCCCCGTACATCCCAGCAGCCCGTACCCTCCCAGGAGCAGCTGCAGCAGCACGTCCAGCAGCAGCTCCAAAATCGCCAGCAACAGCAGCAGCAACAACTCCAGCAGCAGTCGCACTATGCCACCCCGTTCGACCCCGACGACATGGAGCTCGACCTTGACCTTGATAACCATCCGCTGCCACCACCGCCACCCCCGCCGTCGTCAGCGTACTCGAGTGCCCGATCGTCGCCGTCCTCGTGCGCACCTTCGCCCCCGGACACACCCATCTCCACACCGCTCTCCGCGTACCCATCGCCCCACGCCTTCCTCCCACAACTTCCTGGGCATCTGTCCCTGGGCCCCTACCACTCGCACTCGCCGTACATCTCCCAGCCCCCATCGCCCCCATCCACGTATGACCCGAGCACCGCCGCCTCGACCCGGCAGAGCTCGCCTACCCTCTCGCAGATGGGCGGTGGCATGCCCCACGCCCATACCCATGCTCCTAGCAGCGGCCGCCCGAACCTCAACCTCACGCTGTCCTCGGCGGGCTTCCCACGTGCGACCCCCGCCCCGGCGTCGCTCAACCCGGAGGAGGCGTTCAACGCGTACGCGCGCTTCGCGTCGGACTACTCGTCGTGCATGCCCGGGGCGCAGTTCAACCCTGCGACGGTGGACGAGGCGAGTGCGCTGGGGGGCGGCGGCAGCGGCATCGCGGCGTGGCAGCTGCAGCAGCAGCAGGCGGTGCAGGCGCAGGGCGGCGGGTGCATGCCCCCTGCGCTGCTCTTTGCTAGCTCCACGACGGGTGGGGGAGGGATGGCCTCGCCGGTTAGTGCGACGTCCTCGCGGGTGCCGTCGCCGACGCACCACCACCAGACTCAGCGTGCAGCAGCTCAAAGCAGCAACTCGGCGCCGCCCTCGGCACACCCGTCCGGCGCCGGAGCGGGCTCGGGCCTCTCGAAGCTCTCACTCTCGCTCTCCCTCGCTCAGCCCCGCTCCTCCACCACACCTGCCCCCTCCCCAAACTCCGCGGCCCAAACAACCTCCGCGGCAGCCGCCCTCGCCGCGCGCTCAAGCTCAAACAACTCGGCCGCCCCGCCCCTGCTGCTCAGCAAGCCCTTCCGCTGCCCCAAGCCCAACTGCAACAAATCCTACAAGCAGGCGAACGGGCTAAAATATCATATGACGCATGGGAGCTGTAACTTTGCGCCGCCGAAGGATTTGGAGCATGTCAAGGATTTGTTGGAGCGGAAGAGGCGGGAAAGGGAGGCGCAGGGCCAGCAAGGGGGTGTAGGTGGTGCGGGCGGGAGCGGCAGTGGGTTAACGAGGAGCGCAAGCCTCGGCAGCTCGCCCTCCGCCTCCGCCGCAGTCCCCACTCCCGGCACATCCACCTCCCACGCCTCCTCCCCATCGACCCTCCACCCCTCCGAGCCCGGCACCCCGCTCTCCCCCACCTCCATCCTCTCCCTCACCTACTCCGACCTCTCCAACATCTCCGAGCACGACCTGCGCGAAGTCGAGCGCGAGGCCGAGCGGCGCCTGCGGCCCTTCGCGTGCGGCGTGGGCGATTGCCAGCGCAGGTACAAGAACATGAATGGGCTGAGGTATCATTATCAGCACTCGGGAGAGCATGGCGAGGTGGGATTGGCGCTGTTGGCGAGTGGGCAGCATGAGTGCTTGGGGAGTAATAGAAGGGGTGCGGGTGGAGGTGCGGGTGGGGGAAATGGGGGCGGGGTGCAGAGGAGTAATACGGCGAGTGGGGTGATTGGGGTCGGACATGGGCTTGGGCTTGGGGGAGGGATGGGCATGAAGGGCAGTGTGAGCGTACCTGTGAGCCGCGCGGGGAGTGTGCCCGGGAGCAGGGTGGGCACGCCCCAGCCCCAGCCCCAGCCGCCCCAGCCGCAGGCGCAGCTGCAGCATCAGTTCCAGCAGCAGTTCCAGCATCTGCAGCAGCTTAACCATGCGCGTGCCGCTGCTGCCGCCGCCGCCGCCTCTTCTTCCTCCTCAGCCACCGCGACGGCCACTACTACGACGACGACGACGGCGATCACACCGACGACGGCCCCGGTGCAGGCGCAGGTGTTCGTCGTGCCCGTCGCCAATGGGAATGGACGCTCGACGCCGGCGAGTACGTCGAGGAACGGCAGCCCGACGTCGTTAACGTCGTCGCCCCCCGGGTCGGCGTCGGCGCGTGGGTCGCCTCAGCAACAGCAGGCTCAGGCGCAAGCGCAGGTTCAGGCGCAGCAGCAGCAGCAACAGCAACAACAAGGATACCAGCAGAACGCGTACCAGATGGCGTATGCGTATGCGCACGCGCAGCACGTCCAGCGGTACCAGGCTGCTCAAGTCCAGGCTGCCCAAGCTCAACAGGCGCAAGCTGCTCAACAGCAACAAGTCCAACAGCAGCAGCAGAGACAGAGCCCGCCCCAGCAGCCTGCCCAACCGCAACCGCACGCCCAAGTCCCAGTGCAGCCGCAGTTCGGGTACGGCACGGCGGGGTATTTGGGGCTCGGCGCGTCGGCGACTGCGACCGCGAACGGCGTTAGTGTTGTGGGTGTGGGTGGTATAAGTGTGCTAGAAGGAGGGGTACAGGGTGGACAAGGCGAACGAGGTGAACCAGACGCGGCAGCCGCCGCCGCGCTCTACGCGCGCCAGCAGCACGCGCAGAACTCGGAGGCGAGCTTCAGCTTTAGTTATGCGCAGGTGGGGGGGATGGACATGTCGTAGGCTTCTTGCTTGTGAGTGAACTTTCTGATGTGTTGGTTCGAGTATTGGGGTTGGATGGTGCTTATGTTGGTGATGATGAGGATGCTAACGATCGTTCTTGGTGTATGTGCAGGTCCCCCTCTGGTGTTGCTTGCTCTCGACTCTCTCCATTGTCGACCCTCCTCTTGGTTATCTATCTATCCTATCCTATGCTGTATGCACCCCTTCCTTGGCCGTTCTCGCTCATATCGTCGTTCGTCTCCTCTCTGGCACGAGCAGGCCTTCGTGCATCTCGTCGGTCGATCGTCATATTTAACTTACACCTCCACCTCCGCCGACGCTTACGCCGACCGACGACCCAAAAGTACTCTCTTCAAGAACTTGCAAAACACCCTCCTATAGAGCCTCTCACACTTGTATAGAGAGAGCTGCGCGGGACCTCCTTTTCCTACGATCGGTAGGCAGGTTGCCGCGAAAACTTAAAAGAAAGAAAGCAAAGAAAAGTAATTGTATTATTCTTGTCTATTGGTATTTGTACTACACCTCCCTTATCCTCCTCTATTGCCCTTGCCCTCCTCGTTGTTTTGTGCTTTTGGTTCCTCCTTTCCTCTTCCTCGCGTTTTCTGTTCCTTGCTCATCTTACATCCTTCCTACTCGCTCATCATACGCCTCTTGTACCTCTGATACATATATACTGATATCTGATACGTGTTTAAAACCCCTGCCTCCGTCTCTTTCTCTTTCCCTTTCCTGATTCACTACTGTCGTTTATCTGTCACTTGCTTATCCGTTATCTGCCGCTGCTGCCTCACTAAAGCTCTTTACTTACACTTACCCTGTTGCGATTTATAGTAATACTATCGATGTTGTTTTGGTGCCCTACTTGCCCTTATTTTTTTCTTTGCCTCGTTTCCTTCTCCGTCTGTTTCGTTTTTTCTTTCTCTATCTTCTCTCTCATACTGCTTGGTGCTTGTATTTCAGCTGGGCTATTCATGTCTCCCTTCCTCTTTCCTTCCGTCTGGAGCTGGAGGGCTGGGATGGGCTGGGCAGAGTGGAGATATGGAACCTTCTCCTAGCTTCTTCGGACATGCGAAAACGAGCATGAGCACTGCCGCCTCCCCATCGACGGCATGGACTTGCTGCACCTGCACCACTCGCTCCGCCCTTCGACCTCAGATGCCACCTACACAGCCACGCTGCCCTCCTCAGCCTAGTGTTCCGCCGACGCCGACCCACTCCCGTCCGCCGTCCGTGGACTCTGCGCATATACCCGCACCCGCACTTGTTTCCGCCTCCTACCTTCACGGATCCACGATCCCACACGCACACGCCCACACGCCTCCTGAACGTTGAACCCTCGCCCATCCCGCGCTTCGGTCTATCCTAGGATAGGAAGGCAACCTGCGAGCTTCTCGTAACTCCGGTCCGCTCGCTATACGCGCACGCTCCTCAAGGCCAGGTCTGCCTCGAGGTTCGGGTCATCAAGCAGCGATGCGACACGGCCCTCCGGACAAGGACAAGTACAAGGACGTGCGGAAATGAAGACTCGCATCGCCGCATCGCCGCTTCGAGTGGGAGATGGCGTGGGGCAGCGCAGCGTATGCGCACGGACCACCCCAACAAACCCCTCATTTCGGTGTCAGTTCTCGCGGCCTGATGTCGTTGTTGATCAGCTCGCATCATGCGCACATGCGAACCGCGCACGGACCATGGCGCGTGGTTCGGCACGCGCAGCCAATGGAGCGCGGCGCATTGCAACGGATGGTGGTTTGGGCTGGCTCGCGGTGTGGGACCTCGGGACCTTTGGTGGTGGGTAGGCGGGCGGGTCAGTTGGTCGGGTTGTTGGTTGTTTGGCGGTTAGGTGGTTGGCTTCGACTTCGACTTCCCTCGGGATGGTCATGGGGCTCCCAGGACAGGCTCCGTCCTCGGTTGGATATCCGATCCGAAGCACGCCGACGATGTCGATGCCCTTCTCTGGAGGGCTCGTTGGGCCCTTCCTCAAAAACGCGTTATTCCCTTCCCTTTTTCTTTTCTTTTTCCTTTTCCCTGTGCCATAGAATCTCCCTTATTCCTTTATCTGCCTCCCTCCTGTGAAATGTCGAATCCCTCTTACTATTACTCGCCGTTTCTCCTTTCCTCTTTCCTCCGAGTCGATCATCTACGTCTGTTTGTCTTATCCTTGCTTGCTTACAAGAAGTACATATACATAGCGTTCGCCTTATACATACAATCGTACCTACTACCCTACAGTGTACGCCATAATATTCTCGAGTATTCAGCGCGAGCAGCAGCTGCGACCCAAAATTACAACATAATTGCTTTTAGCGACTTTATGACTTGCGATATGGTGTGAACTCAATCTCGAAGCCTGAAGAGTTTGTCCGGTGGGTTGGCGCAAAGATATTTTGGAACTCATATAGAACTTCGAATGTAAGTAACGAGAACATACAACCTCGTGGCAATGGAACCGACGCTATCTGTGTTGTTAGAGTCTATTTGCGTGGGCGGTGTGAAGGCACTGCCTAATACAAGGTCTCTTTCTCCACCTCGTCTACCGCCTGCGGGTTCTCGCGTGGACTCCACACCCCCATAGAAGGCGCTGAAGCCTGAAACGCCATGCGCACACCCCTCTTTTTATTTCTATAATTAGGAATTCCTCAATACACCATGGCGCAAGCGACGTCAATGGGGTTGATTCATTTGAACGGCGAAGCCTGATCAATCGATGCCAGGTGGTTGATGATCACCATATGTTCCACCTTCCACCAGGAGGATCATGCCGTGTAGCTGTTCGAGATCTTGGGTGGGGATATTATTAGCCTTAGAGGGCAATGCTCGTGTGGCGTGCACACAGCCCTATGTCGCGTGGAGGCGGCGCGGACTCAATGGGGCTCAGCGCACATCCAGAGGTCGGTGGCGCGAACAAAATAGAGAGGCGGGCGACACGTCTCAACTCGACAGCGCGCTCGGACGATGGGCTTGAGCAACAACCCTCGAGGTCGCATAATTCCGAAAGGCCAACATACGTGATGCGGGTGATGAGAGAAACCACACGCTTATTGCCGTCGGGGAACAAGAATCCCTCATAGAACAAGTACGTATCATAGGTATCAAACCTTCAAGTCTGACGGAGATGAACTCTGGTTTTTCCCATGTAGCCTCGCACAAACGCCGTTGATAGAGGGAAAGTGGTTTGATCCTATGTTTTTGTTGTTCAAGGGCGCGAGGGAGGTGCTTCTGCGTGTTCACAGAAAGAAAGAAGTTCTATGTTCAGCCTCGAGTTGACCCGCAGATGCGACCCAGGGTTGGGTTGATCAATGGTAGATCCAAATTTAAGGTCGCCCGTCTACGTATTTTGAGGATGTAAATCCACGAGTGAAAGGAAGGTGTTGGCGTCGCTGATGTGTGGGCACGTTTCCTTCGCTCTGGTGAGCGAATTCTTGATAAGTGGAATATGAATCCTGTACACTGTGGATAGAGTGCAGCAGGAGTGATGTCCTCAAAGTTAGAAAAATAGTTTCGTGGCTGTGAGGGAATAGATGGACATAAATTTTGTCTGTGGCGTACTTGGGGAAGCCCCGAGTTTGGAGAACAGGGTCGGAGCTTCGCTCGCCCCTATCCTTATGTAGGCGCTTACCGTAAGCGCCTAAACGATGATGCATCACGACATGAGGTTAATTGCCGTAGCACAAACCATACGCAACACTTTCCTCCCATGTTGCCCGGGTGCGAATCAAACTTTGTCGCGCGTCGGGCATCGGTCCAGATATACTTAAGAACCTTGAGAGCGAGATCGAGGAACGAGGGTGCGTCGTGCTGCTGTCGGCGAGCATTAGTGCACGATCCGACTAGGCCTCCTCGATAATGCAAAGGGACTGAACGAGGACTATCGATTTTGTCTCGACTTGTCCAATTGCAAGGAGCAAGGGGTGGCGAGACGGGGACTATACGCTTAGATTCTGTTCACCGAGGTGCGCTTCCATTCCGAGATTTCGAAGTGCATACTCAGTAGAACACCGTTGCAGTCGACGTCGTTAATCCTTAATGATCAGCACGATCTCGACAAGATTAGACACCTCCAAGCTTTCGTGCGCCTGCTTCGCCTCGTCTTCCGGTACACAATACCGGCTCACCTCTGTCCGAACGGGCCATTCGGAAGTCGGGCTGGGACGGACGAACACGATATGACGATGAGTGCGCGATACCGGAAGCCGATTTCTCCTTCCAGCACCCACTTTCTCTCGCCACGGTGGCCAAGCCGCTGCACTTCCTCCATCGCGCCAACAACGTTTCAGGAGGCCCTTAGAGGGGCTATTTACTCACTCAGTCGTGCATCGTGTATAAGTGTGTATGTCATTCCGTGCCCTAACCGTCTTGCAATTGAATCGCAAGGCAGGGTTTGGGGATACATAGGACAAAGGGGCCGTCGCGTTCGTCCCGACCACGGCATCAGGAGGGTCGATTCGCTATTGAACGCGAGCGTTCAATTGAGCTTCGGGTGAGCCCAAAACTTTATGAGCGTTAATCGAGTGCTTATTGTTAACTGTTATGATCAGCGTAATGAGCTCAATGCGACTGGTGTGCAAAGAGGCGCCCTGATCAAGGGCATCTGACAAGAATCGGGTGGAGCTACGAGGAGAACATATCCTCTATGGAACAATGGCGAGGCGCGGCCTGTCAATCCCTTCACATCTCCCCAACGCGCTCCCTATACGCCCTGTCGGCCGAACCTCACGCACAGGCTCCAGGAGGGAACTTAATGGCACGCACGTACGCCTGCTTGCCCCAGAACCCGAGCGTCCATCGCCCAACTGTCACTTCACTGATTCGAAACGCCTTCGCCTTCGCACGGGGGATGACGCTCCTTCCGTACCCAGCGGCTCGAGTGCGACTAAAGATACGCCCCCCTGGCAACTCGCGCGCACAATTGCAATGTCACGGTTGTCGGGCGTGAGCTCCTGCTGCTGCTGCTTCTGATCCCAAAACCCTCCACGCCCCTGCGCGTTGACGTTCCGTGGGCAGGCACCTTCACGCTGATTGGGTACCCCTTCCGCGCGTGTTTGATAGAATCGCGCACGGTAGGTGCCCCGTTCGTCAAATGAATCGATAAGTGCGCCAGGAGGCCAGAGATTTGATGACGAGTGAATCGTTGAATGGGGTGTGGACAGTATGGCGCTGGTTCTATGATGTTCGTGTCTAACAAAGAAGAGGCATGGGACTTGGAAGTAATCCAACTTTGCGCGCGAAGGCGATGCTGGTCAAGAAGCCTTCGCTCGTGGGATCAGGGTCGAGCTTGGAGTCGATTAGATGGGCAAATCCGTCTGTAGAGCGGCGATTGTACGAGCTGAGCCTAGGAAAGGTTTGAACGCATAATATTGCCCATTCAGAACCAAGAAGTCAGTTCACTGAAGTCGGAATTGACACGGGATGTGGATGAGGCAAGTGACCCACGTAGAGTTCCGCGAACGCTTTGGATAGACAGAATGTACTCTATGCTCTGGAGTGCATTCAATGGGTCACCCTATGTGGTGGGTCAGACGGTCAGTCCGACGCGTGATAATGTAGCTGAAATACCTCATCTAGGAGGTCATTAAGTTGCACGACGGCAGAACACAAGCAGAAGAGGAGACCTGCTGAATATAGCGTAGGTGCCGTAAGAGGCCGAGGAATTTGCAGAAAACGGGCGACACGCCACAACACCGGCGCCTTACGGATTTGTAAAGCTAAGAACGTGAGGGAGGTTCAGAGTCGGTAGTTAATTACTGTGAAGCAGGCGAAATTAATTAGCGAGAATCCGAACTCACAAATGCTTGAATTTAGAGGTCTTCAAGTCGTTTTATGGGGAATTTGTAACTTACGGACAGAAGACGATCCAGTGTTGTAGAAGTTCATCTTCAACACCTGTCTATGAATTTATCTTCTCTTATGGTGGGAGGCGAATTGTCTGCCTTGTTGGCAGAAGAAGAACCGTCTTTACACCTACCTTATCGCTGGTTTTTTTAGGAGAGAGTCTCTCGCTTTCGTTCTCGAGGACCATCGCAACTCCATCGTTCATAGAGGCTAAACGAAACATCACGAAAATGCTGTGTGGTCATCAAGAAGAATTCCTCTACTGAAGCACAGCAGATTACTCACCATTTGGAACCTGACCTAGAACGAAGGTATCTGTCATCTGTCAAGTAGTTAGCTCTGTAATTTAGGAACGCATCTGCCATCAAACTGTGGCGCACGAAGTAAGTGTGGGGTTCCGACAACATGCCTTGGTATTTTCCGGGTTGATCAGTGCTGCCTATGTCAGTGTTTTCAATATAAGAGAATTCATATTCTCGAAGAGTTCTCGAAGCTTATCTCGGGCTTGTCACCGCAATTGAAGCTTGGTTACTGTAGGTCATTTCACCAGTTTCGGGATTCGAGACTCGCTTGTAGGTTGAGCGGCCGAGGGAAGTCGAGAAGCATTCATAAAGAAGTCAGTAAAGGTCAGCGACATCAAAAGAGCATCTCTCACCTTCATTTACCGGAGGTTGGGACATAGCGAGTGTGGTCAGATGTATATGTTGCCTGAGTCGGAATGTCGTAAGACGTTTCCGAGAGCGAAATTATCAATTGATGCTTACTATGTCCTGAAATGGAGACCCAGACGGTGGCGAGAGCGACCTAATATTCCCAAATGAGGCACAGGACACATGAGTTTAACGTTTAGGCTTCTCTCTATGGGAAAGAACAGCATGTTCCTCGCGACACTGCGGTTCCTGTTGTTGTGGATGGTGAGCCTATCTACTTTTGCATCCGTCGACTGGAAATCTACAGAAGAAACGGCGGTGCCAAAACACCGATCGTAAGCCAACAGGTTCCCTCAAGATATGAGGAATATCTGCCCACCTTGGCGGCCTGGAATCCAAGGTGCGGGGAGGCTGACCAAAACCTTGGCGACCATGTCATGATTGCGGGAATCAGCGAAACACATGCTTAAAGGAGTCGATCGGCTTGATGATCCTTCAAGAAGAAAGATAGACGAACGAACGACTAGTACGACGATGAAGATTCCAGCTTCATGTATGAGATGTTATGGAGGAGTCAAAGTTTGAATGGCCTAAACGTTCCGAAGAGGTACACAAGCGCTGACCAAATAATGCCGTCATCAGCAACAACCGAATTTGATGTGCCAGTTCGCTTTCGAGTTGAGCTCGGTTCAGTCCTGAAGCAAGCCGACTATTGCTCCCGCTGCCAAGCATGGAACGACTCACTTCCTTCGCATCATCACCTTGGAATATTGTTCACAGTAAGTATGTCTTTCTCATGTGCGTTGTGTGCATATTCAATCTGAGGTATAGAAACCTCATTCTCGAGACGAATCTGACGTGCACCGACTCCCTGGACTATCGGATGTTACCTTCGTTCGCCGTAGTCAACAAGACCATCAGTGAACGAGCCAGGCCACTCTACTCTACACCATAGTCATCGCGCCTGATTTCCTACCCTTTTCCATACATTTTGATATGTTTTTCGCTAGGCTTTTACAAATCGTGTAGTATAGTCTGTACCATAGCTGGTTTATATTAAATCAATCACAACTGGGTCAAATGAGCAAAGTAATATACTCTACCAGTAAATTAGTTCAAATCTTTGGATCTTCAGTGTTCAACGAGGTTGGGAGATGTGCTCTTCGACATCTGAGCAAACGAAAAGCCTCTGGGGTGCTTTCATCCCAAC